ATAAGATCAAATTTGAATGGGGTTTGGCGCTCAATTGTAAACGCCCCTAAGGCTTGACCTTAGCTTGGTTTACAATAAAGATTGGCACTTAGACTTGATTTCTATATATGAAAGGTTTTGTAAGTCGCTAAGAATATATTTCAACGTTCTCAATTCATAAAAGTTTTTAGGTTCTAAATGTCCAACTGAGCTACCAGAAAAATGATTTTTTTTTCAAGATTTCTAGAAATTGAAATTATGTAATAGTTTAACATCTATTTTTAATCTTTTTGTCTTTGGGCAGCATGTGATAGAAATGCATAACTACTTAACAAGCATGTACGAAGCGGGAGATGCAAGATCTGCCCTAATCGCTATGGTTCAGAAACTTCAACATGCCAAGAACGGTGTTGACATTGTTTCCGAAAGCCGAGTAAGTATTCATTTCCTATTGCAAGCCCTTTATCAAAAAAAGAAGAAGTATTCATTTCTTAAAATTTAATCACCACAACCGTTATTAGCGTTTTCAGTCTTAATAAAGTATGGAATCATGCATTTTGACATTTTATATAGGTTGGTATGATTTGGTTTTAGTTTTCTAGCTAATTGTTTATTTAAAGGGATTTTAAAAAAGAAGAAGATCATGTTAAGAACTAATCACCAGCGTTGTTGACAAAAAAAGAACAATTTAGGGTAGTTCAATCTAACTTTCAGTTTGTGTTCTAATTTTAGAAAGAAAATAAATTAAATATGAGACAAAACGTAACTGACTCTGCTTCATGGTTTAATGTTGGTGTTCAATGTTTGGTTTATGGTTTATTAATCTTAACTATTTAAAATAAAACTTAGATACGAACACATTTCGCAAGACCTAATTGGAGGAAGGTTTTCTCTGAATTGTCAAGCAAACACGAAGCTTGTCGAATAGGTAATTATTGTTTTTTTCATCATTCTTATCAATTAATTTATTTATTTTCCCGAAATTCTGACTTAAAACTAAATTTTTATATCTGCAATAATTATCGACATATCTTTAACTAAATAAGTATCGACGTATGTGGTTTCAGGTGTGTTCTACTGTGGAAGTCCAACACTGGTTCGACCACTTAAAGACCTTTGTCAGGAGTTTAGTCTCGAGTCATCCACTCGTTTTACGTTCCACAAGGAAAACTTTTAACCAAAATTAATCTTAATGCCTATATTGATGAAATTAAAAAAAAAAACAGATTTTGATTATGTTCGGTCCGATCGAGAGTAAAGACCATTTGCACCTTGTAATTAGTTGGTGACTTAATGTAAAGAAATTAACCCCGTAATAATGTATAGTAGTAACATTTGATTAAGAAAACCTCAACTGTCTTATGCTTCAATTGTATACAACAAATGTATGGTAAGTGTTTTTTGGGCAGCATATTGATGAGAAAACTCTCACAAGTGCACAAACTCTTGTTCTGAGTGTTTTCAGATTTTTTTCACACTGACCCTTTAAAAAAGTTTTGATATTTCTAACACAAAAGGGTACAAAAATTAATTAACATTAATAAATATTTTTAAAAAGCTGAATAACTTTGTTTTTTTTTTAATAAGAGAAATGACTTTGGACATGATATTCAATTACGACAATTTTAATCGTAAATCATATATGTAATATAGAATACTCAGATATATAAGTGCATGGATGATAATTATAAAATGCAATTTTTACTAATAGCTAGTATATCTTTTTAATATATTTGTTTTGGTCTTTCACAGTTTTTTTTTTTTTGGTTCAAACCTTGGTCTTTCACAGTTTCACTTGTAATTTTCTCGAGTTTAAAACTACTTTTTTTTTAATGATACTTGTGGAAATATTCAAACGTATTTTAAGCATAGCACTGAATTTGAAAACTAATAAAATAGTTATGCGATCTTAAACGAAAGAAGAAAGTGGAGTGTTTAAGAGAAAAAAAGACAATGAAAAATGGAGTAGAGTAGGTAATATGAGAACGAAATGTACGGGAGAGTCCAATTTGTTAAGCAAAAGGTAGTTTGGTACGTATGGCTAAATCATGGAGATATCCGAAATTATGGTTTTAATAACGTAGATTCTATACGATTTTCGAAGGTTTTATAAAACTAGATAAATATATGAACAAAAATATTTGCAGTTATAAAAAAGAATATTAATTTGCTAAAATTGTACATTACTTTTTAAAAAGACGGTTTCACTTTCACATCGAGCAAGTAAAACCAAGTGATAAAGACATACTTGAAATCAATAATTGGTTAGAATAAGATTTTCCTATTAGAATAAATGATTTTCTTTGGTTGTACTTATACCCTGCTTTTTCTTTTTAACGTTATTGAAGATTGGCTAATCTTTGGCATTTAAGGTAAAACATCTTAATTAATCATCATTGATCATTTTATAATCAACGATTAATAACAAGAAAGTTGATTATGTACATAATAAGGCTTGATGCTAATTGTGCAGACAAATTTTTGGTTGCTCCTAACTATCGGTGGTGGATACAATAATGTTCACTCTTAAGTTAAGATATCTATTGTTAGGGAATAAAAAGCTACATAAGAATCAGAGGATTAATTTCCAGTATCAACGTTTGGTTATTTATGCTAAATTCAGGGTCAATTTGGTGAGTAATAATGAGCGCGTGGCTAATGCCTAAATCATATGGACGCATGCATATACCTTTTTACGTAAGACTCAAAAAGTTATTTGAAAATTTTATAATTATTCCCATCTTTATATATTCACGTAAAAGGTAGCTAGTAACTGTCCACACTAATATATTCGTATAGTACACGTACTGTATATGTATACATAAGTTTATACATGATAGTATAATAATACTATTGAAGCCTTAGTTAGAAATCAATGGTTGGTGCAACTACAATATCTATGTGGAACAAATTAAATAAGAAAAAACCTCTACAAACACTTCCTCCAATCTTATCAAACTCGCTTCACATACCTATCATGTGTATATCTTACGCGTATATATATATTATAGATACAATAAGGTATACACTTCTTAATTCTTAATGCTAATTTATAGTGTCATTCTCATATGTGTCTTTTGCATATCTAAGTTTGAGTTTAGTTCCAATAACTTCATCTTGTAAGTAGAGATCACCAATTCGATCATTTAATTTATTTATGTTTTCACTTGATAATTGCATAATTCATTCAAGATTAATGAATCTTAATTTCAACGTAATATCGATATTTAATAATGGTAAGTTTAAGGTATTTAATTAGTGTAAGCTAAGTAGGGATCGCTCAAATTGGTCTGCTATGAAACACCTAAAAGGTCATATATGTTTTGGTTTAGTGGATAACTATATATAGTCGAAATCGTTAAGACATCAGAATTTCGTTTTCGAATAATATGGGAGATAATTATTAATTACACGGCCAAATAATTTGGAATAACCCTGATTAAAATAAAGCTCGCATAGTCTCATGTCACGGGACATAAACATGCCTAGTTAAAATAAATATCCGTAACTATATTTGCGATTACTGATTGTGAGTTACTAACTAAAATATTGTTAAAGACATTATTGTAAAACTACATATGGTTCGAATTACATACAAATGATGTGTTTTAACAAAAAAACATACTAATGATGTGAAATCGCATTTTCATCATTTTGTCCCATAAATCTCTACACATTTCTTTACTGTTTTGTTTTCTAGAATGTTGCTAGGGAAAAATTATCTATTTAATTACCGACTTCGCATATTTAGTGGATAAGTTGATACCTACTTGTTAGCAATCTTGTCTAAAACATATTTTTTACTGCAGACTCACCTCAAATTTTACCAAAATTATTATTATGAAAAACGAATTACAAGCAAACAAATTGCCTACATACATTACTATATACACGCATGAGTAAAAATAATAAGAAAATAAGATGTCTTCAGGAAATTTTTTCCAACAAATATGAATATAGTTGTGTATACAATATGTATAAGTGGCATGCCTTTGAGGATACGAACTTAAAAGGGAGTTAGGTAACTTGCTTGGGAAATAAAATTGCGAACCTTAATTTGAGGTTTCATCACTGTTTTTGTAATCCACGATATTGACAATACCCTTTCATGGATTTTGATATCTAACCCTAATCGTGACCTTCTCTGATAGCTACAATCTCCCTCTCTTTGCTTATTCCCCAAGCAATTTCAGCTTACGAATGTTTTGACTAACTCCACATCGATTAGTCTCTTTTAAAAGTAATCAAATTAACATAATTGATAAACAGATGAAGTACTTATCACTTAAAAATGCTTATGAAATGATGAAATTTATTTGGTAAAAACATAACTACTAAACATAAAATGCTAAAGGTTTCAACCAGTTCTAAATTCTTTGCAGAATTATGTTCCATAGACCCTTTTGGTCGATCAAGAAGTCTTTTGTTAAATCAAAACAAAACTTAGCCAAGGACTAAATCAAACGGTATTAGCTTTAGCTGCCACATTTGGTCCGCGCGTTACTTTCTCATGTAAAATTTGAAGTGTGGTGGTATGCTCAAAGCTGTCAAAGAGAGCAAGAAGACGAACTATCACATCTAAGAAACTAAAACTGGCAACTTTGCATTTCATATTTAGAATCTACGCTATAAACTTGAATAGGAAACTCGAGTTTTTTTTTTTTGAGGGATTAACGAGGGTCAAAGACTTTGACTTATCTTTGACACCACTCATTCATTAGCTGTTATATGTTCTAACAACTAGTCAATATCACAAGAGTCTTCCAAGTACACGAACTTCTCTTGTGTAATTACCTTTTGTTTTTTTATCATAAACATTTAGATACTTATTTTTCTTCTATAAGCAAACACCTAACTCTACTTCCTATATATACACTAGATGTTGAAACAATGAATCCATAATCTACAGCAAAACAAAAACAAATTAATATAACAGAGGCAGAGTATTTAGTAGCCTCACCTTCTCTCATCAACGCCTCTGAGGTCCAAGCTAAATTATTTTCCAAAGGACATATTAAGAAATGGCGCTTCGGTTTCTCTTTGCTGTTTTGTCTTGTGTTCTTCTTCTTCCTGAATCTGCACTTGGGATCACAAGGCATTATACTCTGGACGTATGTGAACATTTGTTTATTCTCTGTAAATGTTGAGATTGGATATAAAAGGAGCTGCAGATGATCATGATTGGATGTTTTGTTTTCTCGCAGATCAAAATGCATAACGTGACACGTCTCTGCCACACGAAGAGCCTTGTATCTGTAAACGGGCAGTTTCCAGGACCTAAGATTGTTGCTAGAGAAGGTGACCAGCTTCTGATCAAAGTTGTTAACAATGTGCCAAACAATATCTCTCTCCACTGGTAAACAATCTTTAAACACTTGTATCATTATTAAGAGAAATTTCTGATTTACTAACAGCTGGCTTTTAATCTCAGGCATGGGATCAGGCAATTAAGGTCTGGTTGGGCTGATGGACCAGCTTACATAACCCAGTGTCCTATTCAAACAGGGCAAAGCTATGTCTACAACTACACCATTGTTGGTCAAAGAGGCACACTGTGGTACCATGCTCACATTTCATGGCTGAGATCAACAGTCTATGGTCCTCTTATCATCCTTCCCAAACGTGGTGTTCCTTACCCTTTTCCTAAACCTCACAAAGAAGTTCCCATGATCTTTGGTAAGGAAGATGACTAGTAAAAACAGAGTGAGAATCTGATGAGAGTTTTCAAAACATTGTTTACTAATCTCTGTGGTTAAATTTTCAGGGGAGTGGTTCAACGTAGACACTGAGGCAATCATTCGACAAGCAACACAAACAGGAGGTGGTCCTAATGTCTCTGATGCTTACACGATCAACGGACTTCCTGGTCCGTTATACAACTGCTCGGTTAAAGGTAATTGTTGACTCCAACATCTAATATGGGTTTGATGATGTATGATCCACTAATCTAAGGTAAACAATGATGTAAAAACAGATACATTCAGACTAAGAGTGAAGCCAGCAAAAACATACCTTCTCAGGATAATCAATGCTGCACTTAATGACGAACTCTTTTTCAGCATTGCAAACCACACGGTCACGGTTGTTGAAGCTGATGCCATCTATGTTAAGCCATTTGAGACGGATACCATCTTGATTGCTCCTGGACAGACCACAAACGTCCTGCTCAAGACCAGACCTAGTTACCCTAGTGCCTCTTTCTTCATGTCTGCTAGACCATATGTCACAGGTCAAGGAACTTTCGATAACTCTACAGTTGCTGGCATCTTGGAATATGAAACACCTAAACATGCAAAGACCTCTATCAAGAACCTTCAGCTCTTCAAACCAGTGCTTCCTGCTCTGAACGATACAAATTATGCTACAAGTTTCAGCAATAAGCTGCGCAGCCTGAACAGCAAGAAGTTCCCGGCGAACGTGCCTTTGAAGGTTGACCGGAAGTTCTTTTTCACAGTAGGGTTGGGAACAAACCCGTGCAACCACAAGAACAACCAGACATGCCAGGGTCCTACTAACACCACAATGTTTGCTGCTTCGATCAGCAACATCTCCTTCACAATGCCAACGAAAGCTCTCCTTCAGTCTCACTATTCAGGGAAATCTCAAGGAGTGTATTCTCCAAACTTCCCGTGGAACCCCATTGTCCCGTTTAACTACACAGGAACTCCACCTAACAACACCATGGTTAGCATCGGTACGAACGTGATGGCTCTACGTTATAACACAAGTGTAGAGCTGGTTCTGCAAGACACTAGCATTCTTGGCGCTGAGAGCCATCCTCTTCACCTTCATGGGTTCAACTTCTTCGTCGTTGGCCGAGGATTTGGGAACTTCGACCAGAACAAGGATCCTAAAAACTTCAATCTTGTTGATCCAATAGAGAGGAACACAGTCGGTGTGCCATCTGGTGGATGGGCTGCTATTCGATTCCTCGCAGATAATCCAGGTAAGAGAAACTAAAGAAACAAAGCTTTGCCTTAGTCTAATCTAATATGGAGATTCTGACTGAGTTTACAAAATGTTTTGGCAGGAGTGTGGTTCATGCACTGTCACTTGGAAGTACATACCAGTTGGGGTCTGAGGATGGCTTGGCTTGTTCTTGATGGAGATAAGCCTGATCAGAAGCTTCTTCCTCCTCCTGCAGACTTGCCCAAATGCTGATAATTCTTGCTTCCATGATTCAAGTCCTTTTTTCTTTTTTTTTTTGTTTCTCGTCTCTTCTCTCGTCCAAGCTTCCTGCATTTTTTTCGTTTTTTTTTCCCCGGCCATTTATCAGTTTGACGTGAGGTCAATTCCTTCCTGTTCAATAATTTGACATGAGGTCAATTTCTGTTCTTTTATTTACTGTTGCACAACTCTGTTTCCTGCAAGTGTAGATCTGTGTAATACCGTGCTAAATTAATATATATACACGATTTAATTTGCATGTATTGACCATAACTTCTATAGTTATCATCACAACCTCTGTAACACAAGTAACTATTGAAGATATACACAAATCGTTCACATAAAAGCCGTGCAAGAATTTATGGTCGGACATCCAAAACGGGTCTGTACACTTATCCCAACTTTCTTAGTTTAAATATCACTTAAGATCTTAGTAAGAGCATAAAGTCTAATTGAAACAGTCAAGAACCATAACCACGTCTGCTATCCATGGATTCACTACAATAAACCATTGTCTGAAGTAATTTAGAAAAAAAGTTGGATTATCTTTATCAGTTGTTCATGGTCAAACAACTGGTCAATAACAAGAGTGACCAAATTCAGAAACTTACATACCTGGCGATCAGAGGATCCTCTATACCTAGCACAGGTTTAGTTGAACATGATGTCAAATTTCTTCTTCCTTGATACAGAAAACTTCACTGCATAGCAATTATGCAGTCCTCTACATTCAAGCACCAGACTTTCAAGTGCCTAAACAAACCTGAGTTTACATAGAACGTTTCTACTGTGTATTCAGGATCAATACGTGAATTAGAGTGAATGCTAACGCTTTTTTCAAGTGCTCATATTCAGGATCCAAAGATTTCATTACTTGCAAACTTTGCATTCAAGAATCTTTCAAACATAACGGAAAAGAGGGCAATCTCACACTAAAACAACAATAACTCCATTGCAGATGATCAAAAACTATAACAGAGAGTTCCCAAAATCAAATCTTTCTTAATCTAAACTATCACCAAGTGACATCCTTAACTAGTCTTACCCAAAACCATGAAATTTTTCATTCAATTTCACTACAAAAATTGTCTCCAACCTTCAGCTAAAATCCCAAAATACCAACTTCAACCATCAATCTCCTTTGATTTCCTCCTTTTCTTGCTCTGCCTCTCTTCCGAACCAGTCTCTCCATTACTCTTCCTCTTCTTCTCCTTTCTCTCTTCACTCCTCTGCTCTTCTTCCAACTTCACCTTCACCTCCTCGGCAACAACATCTTCTTCTTTCTTCTTTTTGCTCTTCTTCTTCTTCTCCTTTCTCTCTTCACTCCTCTGCTCTTCTTCCAACTTCTCCTCCACCTTAACGGCAACAACATCTTCCTCCTTCTTCTTTTTGCTCTTTTTCTTCTTCTCCTTTCTCTCTTCACTCCTCTGCTCTTCTTCCAACTTCACCCTCACCTCCTCTTCAACAACATCTTCTTCTTTCTTCGTCTTGCTCTTCTTCTTCTTCTTCTCCTTTCTCTTTTCACTCTTTTGCTGTTCTTCCAGCTTCTCCTTCACTTCCTGCTTTTCCACCATACCATCAATCCCCTTAGCTCCACCCTCCGGTTCTGCATTCCGATTCAGCTCACTCCTTGCGTCCGATTTTGGCTTCTTCTCCTTTGAGGAAGACGAGTTAATCTCCCTGTGGAAGCTCTTCAATTCGGTGAAGGCATCGGAGGCGCGTCGGAGGTAAGCGCCAACGTCTTGTGAGGCGCCGTTCTTAGAGGAAACGAATTTGGAGAGAATATTAGCCGCCGTGGAGAGGGAGACTGGCTCGGCACTGATAACTCTTCCGGTGACGGTCTTCATCGGAAGTTGCTCGAAGATCGTCGCGCCTCCGTACAAAATTAGGGCAATTTCTGTAACGCCTCTGCTTTCACAAATGTCAAAATTAAATGTTTTAAGAGGAAGAAAAGCAAAATTACGAAACTCTCCTTGCTTCTAATGAACTGTCGTTTTGTTTATTTCCTTTTGCTACAATATCTTTTTTGGAAATTAAAAAAGCTTCGACTTACTAGTTATATACAAATATATCGACCTAATTAATGTTTAGAATAAATACCTCCGTGGTTAGATGCCTAGGTCTCAGCAGCTCAGGGGCGCAGGTTCGAATCCCGAATACCGTTTTTTTTTTTCTTCTTCTCTTCTTCAATCCTCCATTCCAGCCGTTCTGTATCTCCCGCCTGTTACTCGATCGCTGCTTCTCCTTAAACCCTAAACCCACGTTCCGTCACCGTCGTCCTCCTCTTACCGTAAGTTGATTCTTCGATTGCTCCCCGATTTTTTCTCTGTTTTTTGTCTGCTTCTTCTTCCTCTGACGCCGATTCAAACTTGGTCGAGTTTCAATTTTGCAGATTTGATTGGAGAGATGGAGACGAAGATGGAAATTGAATTCACTAAGAAGCCCTACATCGAAGATGTCGGTGCTCTTAAAATGTATGTTCTCTCTTAGTTTTCTGCTCAAAGTAAAAATCATCACTCCTTTGATTGAATTTTCCCAATTATGCTCCTCCTTGTAGCAGCTCGATCATTCTCTTTTGACTTATTGCTGATTTCGTCTCATTGTGCCTATAAACCTTTATTCGTTGTGCAAGCTCATGAAATTCGGATATGGCGTCTGATGTTTCATGTCAATTGAGATGATTTTTGTACTAGTTCTGAATTTCATAGATGTCATCATCTCTCTGCTAATGATCTGGTTTTCTTTCTAATGTCTGTCTATGGATTGAGCTTATGCTGATCTTACTTGGATACAATGATTTGATCTTGTTTGATTATCTGCAGAAAAAGCATAAATTTCTCAATGCTATCTGATCTTGAGGTCATGAAAGCCGCTGAAGTTCAGGTGTGGAAGAATAGGTACTACGAGCCTGGATTTAAACCCTACGAAAACGGGTTGTTGGATCCTCGAATGGTATCAAACTTTCTTATCTTGTTGATTTTTTTTTATCCCCATAACCATGGCAAGTATTTTGTTATGTTTATTTGCATCTGTATATGTAACTCTCAAAACATTTCTTCTGAAGAAGATTATATCTAAATGGATGTGTTCGTTTTGCTTGTACAGGGTCCTCCAAACAAAAAGTCTGTATGCGCAACCTGTCATGGGAACTTCCAAAACTGTCCAGGGCACTTTGGATATCTGAAGCTTGACCTCCCAGTTTACAACGTTGGATACTTCAATTTCATCCTTGACATCTTGAAGTGTATTTGTAAGGTAGCAGAGTTGCCAATTTATGTCTCTCTAGTTTATCTTCTGTTTTACACTGGCTGGATATTTTGATGTCTTTGTAGCATCAGCAGTTCTCAAATATTGTTTTTTTTAATTTCCACAGCGCTGTTCCAGCATGCTAATTGACGAGAAAATGTATGAAGATCACTTGAGGAAGATGCGGAATCCAAAAATGGAGCCATTGAGGAAGACTGAATTGGCGAAAGCGGTTGTCAAGAAGTGCAGTGGGATGGCAAGCCAGAGAGTTGTAACGTGCAAAAAATGTGGCTACCAGAATGGTATGAATTTTTAATCTTTGGGCTCGAATATTCAGATAAGATGATGCTTTTTTTTCAGTTAATAGTTTTACGATCTTGATTTCTTTTCTCATTCTTCATGCATTTCATCTTAGATGCAAAGTTTAGGTCGTGGATCATTCAAATAAGTTTCTTAAGTAGCACAAATCCAATGGCAAATTAATCTGAAATTATGTTATATTCCAATTTATGCTATGTTCTTGAAACTGCTTCTTCCTACCTCATTCAGTTTGATATCGTGCTAATAGTTTATTTATTGATCATTTCAGGCATGGTAAAAAAGGTTGCAGCGACTGTGGGTATAGGCATCAGTCATGACCGATCTAAAATCATTGGTGGAGAGGTTGATGAATTTAAATCTGCAATATCCCACACGAAAGAGTCTACTGGAGCTCAAATAAATCCTGCTACCTATGTTCTTGATCCTAACTTGGTACTTGGACTTTTTAAAGGAATGAGTGATAAGGTATATTTGAGTTTGAGTCTGTAATGCATATCTTTTTCTATATCCTGCAATTATAATATGTTCTTTGTTCTCAGAACATTACAGTAGTATAAATGGAACTTATTTACAAATAATTCAGTCATGCTGATTCTTCTTCTTCTTTTTTTTTTTCCTTCTCTGAAATGGATAACAGGACTGTGAAATTCTTTATATAGCCCACAGACCTGAGAATCTTATCATAACGTGCATGCTTGTGCCACCTTTATCCATCCGACCGTCAGTTATGATTGGTGGTACACAAAGGTTAGCTATCGTTTTATTTTTTATCTTTCTCATTTCAATTATATTTTCTACTGTTGACTTTCTTGAAAGTATTTGGTTTCTTCCTGCAGCAATGAAAACGACATAACAGAGCGATTAAAGAACATCATCGTATCCAATGCTTCTCTTCATAAAGTTTTAAACCATCCTACCACATCGCCCAAAAACATGGTACAAGGAGTTTTTTTTATTGCATCATTTCGTCCCCTGTTATATTTGTGTATTCTGGATTCTGTACCGTAATGTTTGTCCCTCTTTTTTTTTTTTGTTAAATCTTACTTCAAAATGATTTTCTCTTAGTGTACATTTTCATTCAGATTTTCTTTAATTACTATTCCTGTTGCTATTACTTATTTGTTGAGGATTTCTTTTTAGCTACCGTGGGATACAGTTCAGGCCGAGGTTGCACAATACATTAACAGTGAAGTCCGTGGTGTAGTCCAGCAAGACTCCAAGCCACTTAGTGGACTTCTTCAGCGTCTCAAAGGAAAACAGGGACGTTTCCGAGCGAACTTGTCGGGGAAGCGTGTTGAGTACACTGGTAGAACTGTTATTTCACCTGATCCCAATCTGAAAATTACAGAGGTAACTTATCATAAAAGGCGTTTGATTGTCTCTTTTGTGATTTATATAATTTGTGCAACTTATCTCAAAGGTAACTAAACATTTCAGGTAGGAATTCCTATCCTTATGGCTCGGATCTTAACTTTTCCTGAATGCGTTTCCCGTCACAATATTGAGAAGTTGAGGCAATGTGTCCGTAATGGCCCTAGTAAATACCCTGGTGCCAGAAATGTCAGATATCCAGATGGTTCTTCAAGGTACTGGTTTACTAGTTTCACTGCTTTTTGGTTGATAAGGTCATTTGCATGTGTTGGGTGTTTGTCGATCATATGGGGCATTAACACATTTCACTTCAGGACTTTGGTTGGTGATTATCGCAAGCGAATTGCTGATGAACTGACCATTGGCTGCATTGTTGACCGTCATTTGGAAGAAGGGGATGCTGTACTTTTTAACAGACAACCGAGTCTGCATCGGATGTCTATCATGTGTCACAGGGTCAGTACTACTTTAGATTGCTTTGTCATAATTTTCTCTTACCCTCATAGTACTTCTCATTTTACATTTGTTGTTCCGCAGGCAAGAATAATGCCTTGGAGAACGTTGAGGTTCAATGAATCCGTTTGTAACCCATACAATGCTGATTTTGATGGTGATGAGATGAACATGCACGTACCACAAACAGAGGAGGCGCGGACAGAGGCTATTACATTAATGGGGGTAATATTTCTATTACTTAGCATCATATTAAGTTTCTTGGAGATTTTCAATCATGTATTGGCTACACTTAACACTCCATATGCCCATATTTATGCATACGTACATACATAAGCATCAGATAATGATGAGATGGAGTCTTGCTTAATAAATTTCACCAATGGATTTTCTACTGAACCTTTAGGGTTTCCTAAGCAATATAAAAGATCTAGATTCTGGAGTTGAGGGTATGCTGGTTTTAAATTTCTAGAAAAATCTTCCCTTGTAAAGGTTATATGAACGATCTCGATGGACAGAAGGGATGATAGAGTAGGGTGAGGAAATATATCTATGCTGTGTTTGTTATACGAGCTGTTGGTTCTTAGTCTGTATAACCCTTGACAGAAATTTTTATTGTTCCTTAATTTTCTCTTTTGTGTGATAATTTGTTTCTCCCTTGGTTGGTATCGCAGGTACAAAACAATTTATGCACCCCCAAAAATGGAGAAATTTTAGTAGCATCAACGCAGGACTTTTTGACATCTGCCTTTTTGATAACGAGGAAAGACACATTTTATGACCGTGCAGCCTTTTCACTCATATGTTCTTACATGGGGGATTGCATGGATGCCATAGATTTGCCCACGCCCACAATCCTTAAGGTATGAGGCTTCTGCACGTTTTACACCTATATAGCGCGTCACAACTGGCTTGAGAGTATTAGATAACTATAGCTTATTATGTTGGTATCAACTATCTAATTTTGTTTTAATATGTGTGCGTGTGTGTTAATTTCCAACAGCTTTTAACTGTAATACCAGTCCGCCGTTATTGTTATGAAACTGAGGGATAATAGCTCTTAGCTATGCAAGCCTTATATTTTTCTTATCTCAGATTAGTTTTCTTTTGGTTATAGAAATACTTTTGTGGCTATCCATGTCAGTCCAATGGAATGATATTTCTGCTTTCCCATAATGTCAAAGGCCTTTTTCCATAGCACATATTTAGAAACTGCTCCAGTTGCAATAACTGTATCAATCTGTATTTTGTTTGACGTTCTACATCATTATCTCTAGTTTAACCAATGAGTTCAAACTCTGTTAGTAATTGATAGTCTAATCGGTGTGGTCAAATAAGTTGTGGACACTGGGAATTCTTCTGCTATTTTGAGCATTTTTTTTCCTTGTATTTAATTTCTTATGAAGATGCTATTTTTTCATGCAGCCAATAGAGCTTTGGACTGGTAAACAGGTTTTTAGTGTTTTGCTGCGTCCAAATGCCAGTTTTAGAGTCTACGTAACTCTTACTGTGAAGGAGAAGAACTTCAAGAAGAGAGACCCGAAGGATGGAGAGGTGTATGATGAAACAATGTGCGTAAATGATGGATGGGTTTATTTTCGAAACAGTGAGCTAATATCAGGACAACTGGGGAAGGCTACGCTAGGTAAGTTCAAGATGAAATGCAATATGTTGCAAATGCATCAGATAGCGGTTCTTTCTGGAATAGTTTCTATATTCTGAGCTAATGTCAGGATAACTGGAGAATGCAATATTTTTTTTCTATATTCTGAGAACTTAATATTTTCCTCTAGGAAATGGAAACAAGGATGGATTATATTCTATTCTTCTAAGAGATTACAGCTCCCATGCTGCTGCAGTCTGCATGAACCGGCTAGCAAAATTGAGGTGAGTCCGTTTTTTCTGCATATGGCTTAGTCTTATCGCAACACTTCAATCTTTATTATCCATCCTTGTATTGCTCATTCGTTTCTGCTTCGCTATAATAGTTTCAGCAGTTCTCCATTCTTGTTTTGTGTGTGCTGTGTTTTCTGTGGCCTTTCTTTCGCTGCGATCTGCATTTGCTGATTCGTGTAAGTGAATAATTTTCTTGTCTAATTGGTAGTTTTTAATCTTGTTTTGTGCAGTGCTCGTTGGATTGGAATCCATGGCTTCTCCATTGGAATTGATGACGTTCAACCTGAAGAAGCGTTGAGAAAGAGAAGAAAAGAAATAATCAGTAAGGGATATGGGGATGGTGTTAAAGAAATTAAGAAATTTGATCAAGGGCGTATAGCTGATGCAAAAACATTGGAAGCTAATATAACAAATATCCTCAATGGAATTCGAGAAGCAACTGGGAGGGTAAATACCTGGCTTCTGTTTCCAATTAGGCATGAACAAATGTGATTTACTATTTACTAAGATACACGTGTACTAATGCTTCATCTTGTGATCATATTTGTGATATACAGCTCTGTATGAGTTCATTACATTGGAGAAATAGTCCCTTGATCATGTCACAATGTGGTTCCAAGGGATCTCCTATCAATATCAGTCAGATGGTTACATGTGTCGGTCAGCAATCAGTTAATGGTCACCGTGCTCCTGATGGATTTATAGATCGAAGTCTTCCTCATTTCCGTAGGATGTCCAACACACCTGAAGTAAGCAAACAGCCATTCCTTGGAGGTTTCCTGAACAATTAGAACCATTTGCTCGCCATTAAATAATTTGGGAGCTAAGACCCTGATCTCATTTCTTCTTACCATCGCAGGCTAAAGGTTTTGTTGCTAATTCGTTCTACAGCGGTCTTACTGCCACAGAATTTTTCTTTCACACTATGGGTGGACGAGAAGGTCTAGTTGATACAGCGGTATGCATAAATCCTTTTTTTTTCTTTCCATCCTGGTCCACTGCAAATTATGAAAATGTTGTTCAGTGAAAGAGACTACCATGGTGGTTCTGTGTTTTGACATCTGCACTGAAAGATGGAGCTACCTTGTTGTAACAATATGCTTGTTTATTGCAGGTGAAAACTGCCAGTACGGGTTACATGTCTCGTAGACTGATGAAAGCCTTGGAGGATCTGTTAGTCCATTATGATAGCACAGTGCGAAATGCCAGCGGATGCATACTTCAATTTACTTATGGAGATGATGGGATGGACCCAGTACTAATGGAAGGAAAGGATGGAGCGCCTTTGAATTTTGATAGATTATTTATGAAAATTCAGGTGATTTTTCTGTTTTGTATATTGGTTTTGGTCTCTCTAAATTTTTACTGAAAATTCACAATTGTTACGTGCATTGTGCAGGCCACTTGTCCTCCTAGATCACATCACAGCTATCTTTCTGCAGAAGAACTGTTGCAAAAGTTCGAAGAGGAAATAGTCAGACATGATACGAGTCGGGTTTGCACTGACGCCTTTGTGAATTCTCTTCGTAAATTTGTTTCTTTGCTCGGAGTAAGGTCTGCAAGCCCGATCGAGGTTTGCTATAAAGCATCTGGAGTGACTGATAAGCAACTTGAGGTAACTTTCTGTCTTCCTTTTCTGGAGAAGAAATATACTCACTGCATTTTGCATCTCAGTATTCCTTGTGCTGGTCTTTTTTTCATCTTCAGTGATACAATTTGAAGAAATATTTCCAATCTTCAGTGATTACAAGATGATACAATATGGAATATTGCCTCTGATATGTATAAATATATGCAGGTATTTGTAAAAATTTGTGTATCTCGCTACCGGGACAAAACAATCGAAGCTGGGACTGCAATTGGAACCATAGGAGCGCAGAGTATTGGAGAACCTGGGACACAAATGACCCTGAAAACTTTTCACTTTGCTGGAGTTGCGAGCATGAGTATCCTTTTTTGAATATGCTTATTTTCAGAATTTTACTACAAAAAACTAGTGCTTATGACCACATATGAGTTATTAGTTGTTTGGATTTCCTGATTCTGGTTCAGATATCACACAAGGAGTGCCTCGAATCAATGAAATCATTAATGCTTCCAAAAATATAAGCACGCCTGTCATCTCTGCAGACCTTGAGAACCCTAAGGAAGTGACTAGTGCACGATGGGTTAAAGGACGCATCGAAAAAACTACTTTAGGACAGGTTCTCTTTCTTCTACATTTTTATCTGACATTATCATAACTGATGCTAGTTTATGGATATCAATAATTGGATTGTTGGTCCAGCACCTTCTCGTTATATACTCTTCCTTTTTATCACTGTTTTTACCAATCCACTTGAATTATGAACCAGGTTGCTGAGAGTATCGAGGTGCTAATGACTTCAACATCAGCATCAGTGAGAGTAACCCTTGACAATAAAAGAGTCGAGGAGGCATGTTTGTCTATAACCCCCTGGTCGGTGAAAAATTCCATCATAAAGACCCCCAGAATCAAACTGACCGAGGAGGTAAGGTCCTTGCATGTTATTGCTGTATTTATTTTGGTGCACACAGGTCTTAACTCTCTTTGCAATGTTAATCTTGCAGAATTTCAGGATTTTAGAAACAGGATTGGATATTACTCCCCCGGGCGATAAAACTGGGACTCATTTTGCTCTCCACAATCTGAAGAATGTGCTGCCAAATATTATAGTGAATGTGATACCCCGTTGAACCCCCCTCTCTCACATATTATACTAAAGTTTTTTTTTCTAATTTCCGTATTTTACGAAGACTTCTCTTTCATTGACTACTAGAATTCATTATTTGGAATTGTTATTATGATAGGGGATTAAAACAGTTGAGCGAGTTGTCATCGCAGAGGATGCAACTAAAAAAGTAGGGCCAGATAAAAAGAAAAGCTATAAAATGTTTGTGGAGGGGTAAGTTTTTTCGAATTTCAAGAGATTATATTTTCCTCTTTGTGTATGTTATTATTTCCTTCGTAAGTGCTACCTTATGATATAAGTCATGTCTCACATTGGGCATGGTTTGTTTTGTTGAACTGTTGACTTTAAGCAGTCTATGGTTCTGTTTTTGGTTAGCCATTGATATGAATTTTTGTCAGTATTTCACGAAAAAAAATGCCTGTCTATGGATAAATGCATAACCAAATTTGAGATTTTTGTGAATCTGGACTTTGATGTATAGCAATATCGACAGTGTGTGCTCTCTCTTTTCAGGACAAACCTCCTGGCAGTTATGGGGACTCCAGGAATCAATGGGAGAACTACTACAACTAACAATGTTGTCGAAGTGAGCAAAACACTGGGAATTGAGGCTGCAAGGACGACAATTATCGATGAAATAGGGGCTGTTATGGGAAACCACGGCATGAGCATAGACATTCGTCACATGATGCTTTTGGCTGATGTCATGACTTACCGGGTCAGTTCTAATGATATACTTGAATCTGTTATTAATAACTTGTTCCAATACAGTCTTTGTTAACGTAAAAAATGTCATATCCATGTCTTGATCAGGGGGAGGTTCTCGGGATCCAAAGAACCGGGATTCAGAAGATGGACAAAAGTGTGCTCATGCAGGCATCTTTCGAAAGGACTGGAGATCATTTGTTTAGCGCAGCAGTTAGTGGCAAGGTTGATAACATTGAGGGAGTTACAGAATGTGTGATTATGGGCATACCAATGAAGCTCGGAACCGGAATTCTCAAAGTCCTCCAAAGGTCAGATTTTCATTCATCTACTTTGTAATTTTTGCATATGTTGAGTTCCATGATAGACTTCTGTGACATCTCATCTTGAAAAAAATATGTAGAACTAACTCTGCTGTTAATTTTGATCAACAGGACCGATGATCTACCAAAGCTGACATATGGTCCGGATCCAATCATCTCTTGATAAGACAAAGTCGAAGTTTCATAGCAGTTCACGCTACAGAATATATAGATGACAAGCAACGCAAGATCAGTGCAGATGAAACCAATTCTCAGCTTCAAATTCAACCACCCAATTCAAAGCAAAGTCCAGGTGATATACTAAGCCAGTTTCAATAGCTCCCCATGAAGAATTCTGCAGCATAATCTAGAATCAGAACTCGGATTCAGGTTTTCATTTTTGGTCTACAAAGGGAACAAAAATGGGTATTTGCCCTGAGTTTCTTTTCTTCTTTTTGTTCTGAACATTGTTTTAGCTAATAAACGTCTTTAAGGCACTTTCTTTTGAATCTTTCTGTCTCATTGAGAGTCACAAATAGTAACAGTTTACAAAAAGAACCGAAAAAGAAAAAAGAAGAGTCACAATCTTATTCTATCTTTGTGTTAGTCATAGAGTGTAATCTGCAGCTGAGACGCATCCGGCTCTGCCAAGACCTGTCTTACGAAAGCTCTTCTCCACCAAACCTCAAACGCTCGTTGAACATTTGGACAATCATCCCCACTGCTCAGAAACCGATCAAACCACTTCATCAGAATCACCTGCTGCTGTCTCAGCGACAAGGTCAATATTGTCTGGCTGAGCCCATCCTCCACCACTTTCCTATCAAGAGACCTCGACGACAACCGTCTCATCCACCCGAAATCATCATACAAAGCCTCCAACCACGTATCCAAAACCGCGAACCTCGTCTCTCTGTTCACCAAGATCCTTCCTTTACCGATACCAACACATATCTGCGCAGTGATCTTGCTAATCTCGTGCCTATACATCGTCGGTATCTTCGAGTGGAGATTCGCTAGCTCCCTTTGATCCGACCATAGCTTCACAAACTCATCGCACATCTTCTTCTCAATCAATATATCTACCATCCACAGCATGTTATCAGCTTCTCTAGCGATCTCTCCCATCAGCGCACCACGGTCTCTCCCGGGATCATTCATCTGCGTGGTCACTTCAGATAAGCAGAGGACAAGAGACGTGAGGCATCGATGGCACAAACCGTAGAGCGTGTCTTTAGAGACGTCATGATCAGCTTCTTCTCTCAGCAACTTAAAGATCAACGCTTTCATTTCTCGCCGAGCTTTATCATCTTTGGCTTGTAGAACACCGGTGAGGAGTTTCAAGAAGATGTCATCGGTTCTCGTTGAGGACGTCGAAGGTGCAGATGAAACTCTCTGAAGAATCAATGTCACTGAATCATCAGGAAGATGAAGCTCTTCAAGGCAAGATACAACAATGTCTTCTTCATCTACTGACCAAGGAACAGCTTCCAAATGCTCCAAACATGACATTACTCCTTCATCAAACGATATAGCTGAAGAAACCTACCAAAAGAAGAAGAGACTCACACATCAAATCCCAAAGCAAAAACAGAGCAAATATCACATTTTTCACTAATCAGAATCGAATTGGATTAAGTACCTTGAGTAAAGCCAAGATTTTGATGACATTTTCACCGATCAGTTTCTTCTTGAGATCATCGCAATACATCAGAACCACAGTCTCTACATAGATCTCAACATCATCACACTCGCTTATCTCCACCATGTGAGAAACTCCTTTCTCTCTTCTCGGATTCATCTTCTCCATGAAAAACCTGCTCTTCTCCGATAACACCTTCCTGTGAACATCCATGGTGACTTTATACCCGTCTCTCCCCACCACAGTCAGCTTCACGTCGCTGGGACCGAGGCTGTGGCCGTAAACGACGCCGTTTTTGAACTCCGTCAGGATCTGAGCCACGCGCGCGTGGGATTTCTTCCGTGGCTCCCGGTTGTGCTCGTCTGACATCATGTCGAAAAGAGTCGGGTTTGAGTGAGTCGTCTCGTTTGGCGGCGGCGGCGGAGGCAGCAGAGGAGGAGGAGGAGGAGATGCGGAGAATTTGGCCGGATATGTGGCTCTTGACGGAGAGAAAGAGAGAGAAGAATCTGCGATAAACCCTTGTTTGATCATCGTTGATACTTCTCTTGACGCCATTGAAACAAATAAATTCTCAAACTTTCTCGAGAAAAAAAAATGAAATGGGAAAATTCCGGCGGGAAAATTAGCGAAGTTTTTGAGTAGAATCTCAAAACTGTGACGAAAACAAACAAGAAAGAGAGATAATTGGGAAAACAAAAATCTTCCAACTAAAGAAGTTGAGAAGAGACAAGAAAATCCTGGAAATTTGTTTTCTTGGGAAGATAAATGAGTAAACGACGGTGCAGATTTCCGGCACAAGAAGATGAAATTGGAGAATCAGAATCCAAGAAAACGAGAGTACTTTAACAAACAAAAGAAAATGAAAGTACTTTGGATCTGAGGATTGAAAAAAATACAAATGCAATTGCGAGAAAATGATTAAAAACGTGAAGAAAAGTTACTTGTTTTATGTATCTTTTACAGATAGATCATTGCCATTTTGCCTCCCATGTGCTTCCCTCCTCTTTTATCTCACAAGTACACATATATACACTAAAGTTTAAGTAAACATGTACATTTGAACACATTTCATATCTAGTGTATAGTTGTATTCGAGTAACACAGTCATATTCTCCATTTAAATTTTATTTTCCAATCTGGTCAGAATGATTTTGGTTTCTGTGTAAAAGGTTTTTTCCTACTGAAATCTATATGACAAGTGCTTTTCCTTCGTTGGATTTTAGTTTTAGTATATCTACAAGTACTGTAGTATCTCTACTTTGGATTCTTATTGGACCTTTTTCTGGTTTTTACAAGAAAAATAAAAATCAATGGTTTTTCTGGTTTAGTTTTCATTGATCGGATCAGCCCGGTCTAGCCCTATCTAACCGGGGGACAAACGGAGGGAAGAATTTCAGACTCTCTCTGTTCATAAATATTTAGAATTATGCGTTTGAATCGTTTGATCAAAAGCATATACAACATGAGCACTTGGATTTTATCTCTTGGATCTTGTCAATCAACTAGAACTTTGTCGTTTATGTGTAAGGTTTAAATAAAACTTATATGTACATTTTCAATAATATATCAAAGATCAGATTGTTCAACCACCGACTACATACAATTTCAGAAATGATATAGCAAAGAGGCAATAGTGGCCCAAAGCATTAACTTCTGTCGTAATAGACTGAACTCTAGACTTACAAGATTCTCTTCAACTAATAGAATTTATTTCTTCAACTTAAATACTTTGGTTACCTCTCTCTCATGGCATATGTAACGTTAGATGTTGTAATCATGAATATGAAACATCAATACACATGCTTGATTACGAAATTCCGATACGTTCATTAACTTTGTATTCCATTTGTTCATGAGTGTATACAATTTTATTTCATTTATATATTTTAATGTTACTATAAATTTGAGGCCCAAATCATATTATGGGCCTGAACATTTGGGCTTAGTACGAAACCCAAGTTTTTCCCGCGTCGAGTAATTCAACATTGAAGACGCCTTCACCGTCACTGCAAATCCCTCTGCTTCTTCCTCCGTTCCTATAATCTCTATAGAATATGCAACCTCCGGCCAAATCTCCGGCAGGAATCCGAACAGAGAAAGAACAGTCATCTCCTACAAACAGAGCCACGTCTCCCAATTCTCTCACCTCCTCCCATCTCTTCTCTTCTCTGTTCAGCTTATACACTCTAACTCCGCCGCGGATTTCGAAAACTCCGATTTGCACCAAACGTGTCTCACGTACTTGTCCACAAGCAACACTCCTCCTCCGCCGGCGGAACATTCCACGAGATGCTTCTTGTGACCTCCTCCTCCGGCTAAACCTTCGGCCAAATCCGAAACCTCGAAATCCATATCGTAAATTACGGTTTTGCCCTTATCGTCTACAACGATGCAAGACTCTCCGTATACCATTATGTCCTCGTAAATCACATTCCACGAATCATCCAAAATTCTCCATCTTCCGCCGTCTCCACTTTTCAGAAATCCTAATTTCCCGCCGCTGTGAATCGCCATTACCGCTGAGTCTTCCCCTGAAGACAGAACCACCACTTTGTCGGAGCTCAGTGACCAGAAACAAGACAGCTCAGCACCACCATTGCTTGCGTACTCCATACGATAAGCTCTGCGAATTAGTCTCACATGAAATTCTTGCAAATCGATATTTTCCGGGAAATTGTCAGGCAAGAAGCTGATTTTGTCGTTTGAGAAGAGATCCAAGACTCGCATTTTCCCTGGAGATGTCTCTTGAAGCTTAACCAACCAGCTGGTCTTTGGAGCTTCGAGTTTATAGACACTGCTCTGTTTCAGGATGAAGAAACCAGAGGATGAAGATGACCAGAAAGGAAGATGCTTTGGAAATTTAGCCAAAGGGTTTTTGTTGTGGGACGGAGGAAGAGAGAGACGCCACGTGGCACATACAGAACGGAGGCAGAGGAGGTCAACGGTGTCTGATGAGAGACGATCGGAGATCAGCTGAAGAAGGTCTAAAGGAAGATCGGACCATTGAGGAAGAAGAAGAGAAGAGTCCATAGAAGAAGAAGAAGAAGACAAAAGAGCGATATGGACTTGTTCTTTTTCTTGGTTTTAGGAATTTGGATCATATAATATAACTATATAATGACAATATAATGTCGTCATCATTGATGTTGACATCATTTCTCACAAAATAATTCATTAATGTCTATTTTTGTGGTTGCCTTTGTGCCTTGTGGTGTAAGACTTTAAAAAAATATGTTGCATGATGTCTATTTTTGTGCTATTATTGTCTCTTTGTGGTTTTAAACAGACATTATTAGTAGACCATGCTTTTTCCACGATATGATCTATACTTAATATAGTAAGGAAATAGTATTTAGTTATTTACAATGTACCATTGACCAATTAGCGTTTTGAAAAATCTGAGTGATATCAGTCGTATCGATTATTATAATTTTGGAGTGCAGAATTATACAATGATCTCAGTTCTCTTATCCATTTAATAATCTTTGTTTTACGCTGCATATTAGCCGTTAATCGTTTGGAAACCAACTTGGTTTAGGTGATTTCTTTTAATCAGCATACGATTAGTCACTCGATTTAGTGATGTATCATTTGGTTTAATACAATTTAATAAAGCAAATATACATTATGCTATGTTTTATATTATATCATATATCAACTAGCGAGTGTTTAAAAAAATACCATCAAATACATGTTTACAGTCATACATTTTACATTTAAAGTTCAAAAACCAAAACTATATTAAAAGATTGCACCAGAACATCTTTATTTTTATAGAAACTTATAAGCAATGATGATGACTTTAAAACCATAATAAGTTTAAGAAGAACAAAAAAAATCATGAAATAACTTCGGTTACTTCTTCCACACGCTTCAAGATCGTAACGTAACACATACTCTTTTGTCTCTAAATCACTAAATAGCATACATTCGTTTAGTCAAAATTCCAGAAAAGTCCATCAATCCTGTATGTCTCGATCTTGCCATCGACTCTCTCCTCGCGCTTCTCACATTCGAAGCCTCGATTCTATGCATGATCACCCAATAACACATTGTCCCAAGCGTCGTGAGCATTATCGTCGCACCAAACACCGTCACTCCAACCGCTAGCCACCGCTCGTCATCACCAACCACCACAAACGCTAACGCCAAAAACGCCACCGATATCAAAACGCACGCCACCCACATCAGCTTGTTTATCACAGCCATCATATTCTTCTTCGCCTTGTGCTCGATCGCAACCACCGATGTCTGAACAACCACAACCGCTAAAGATATAAAAAGAGCAATCGAGTCGAATATAAAGAAAATCGCAAACGCGGGTTTATCCGCGATGTTCGCTTCTCCTAGAGACTGTCCCGGAAGAAGCGAGCTCAACTCGTCGGCGTACTGTCCCGGGACGGTGAAAATGGCGGCGAAAGCGACGGTGGCGATAAGAACGGCGACGACTGTGGTGGAGTTAATGGCGTTGTCGAGACCTTCGATGTGCATTTTGTTTATGCGTTTGGCGATTCCTTGAACGCGTTTCCTCGTCTCCCGAGCGTGTTCGAGCTGGTCGTGAACCTCGTGTTTGATGTCGCTCACCGTTTGTTTCAGCTCACGCGCCGCGTTTGGCCGCGGTGGGTTGTTGATCGCTTTAGCAGATGGAACGCCACGTGTTTTGAGAACCGCGGCCAGCTCGGGATGGCCGGTTTTCTCCGCCGTGTCCAGCGGCGTTTCTCCGGCTCTGTTTATTGCTTGTGTGCTTGTCTCGCTGTTCTCTAGAAGCAGCTCCACTATCTACAAACGCATTAATATCTCAATAAATCATAGTTTTATTCAATAACTACAAAAACCTAACAGTTAATACTAAAAATTGTGTATGGCGTTTGCATGATTTTGAAAATCTATATAAAAAGTTTTTTTGTTAAATGAGAATATTATTGAAATTATGTTTCTATGATTTTTGTACGTACCTTAGTGCGACCTTTCCTAGTAGCAACATGTAACGCAGTGTTCCCTTTAGAATCAGAAATATTCAACGACGAACGATGTCCTTTCATGAGCTCAACCACCACATCAAGGCTTTGTCCTTTCACCGCCATGTGAAGTGGCGTCTGACCTTTTTTGTCAGTCCTCATTGCCGTGTCTGGCTCAACCGCCACAATAGCCTTTACCACTTCCGCGTGACCGTTCCTAGCCGCCGAGTGTAGTGCCGTTTTTCCGTTGCTCTTGGCTATCGCCGCTAGGCTACTACCTGCGGCTTCTATTAGATACTCTACGACCTCCACGTGTCCTTGAGCCGCGGCCGTGTGTAGAGCCGTTGTGTTTGATAAGTCCACCGTCATTGCTAGCTCCGGGTGCTCCTCCATTAGTACTTTCAAAACATCTATAAACGTACAAGAACAAAAATATTCAGCTTCCATCAAGTGAATCTATTATTTAAAAACAAAAATGGACAGAATGATCATAAAATGCTAAAACTTGTTTTACTAAATTAATCCTCTCTTGTAGTTTTGTTTTTAACATGTTATAGCATTCAGCGGATCCCTTTTTATACACATGAAAATATTATGAACCACATCTTCAAAACATGAAAACTTAAGATCAACCAAAGTTTTAAACTTTAATCAAATGAAATGGGACAAAATTACATACCCAATTCGCCTTGTTTAGCAGCAATGTGAAAAGGATCGAACCCATTTCTAGCTTTGGTCTCAGCATCTTCTAAATCGTAGTACTTGATCAGCTCTGAAACCACATCCGCGTCTCCATACTCTGCGGCCACATAAAGTGCGGTCTCACCGCATTGGTTCTGTTTCTGCAACACCTCTCTTAGATCCTCTTCTGATTCCATAAGGTCACTCAATATCTCTTTCACCGCAGAGAAATCTCCGCGTCTCACAGCGGAATGTAGCGGCGTATCCTCACGTTTTCCGGTCAGTTGCTTCGCCATTGTCTTCCTAACAACGGTTGGTGCAGACGTCGATGTCGATGCTTCCTCCATTAAATCAACGTGGTTTCAAAAATAAATTCTATATATACCAACAGAAAAAAAATAACTAGATCAAATGAGATCCAGAACAACATTAACCTTTGAATTTAACCTAATAATTTAACTGAAATGTTCAAAGAGATGTTGTAGATCTAAAGGTAATACATAACAACCGGAAAATCTTACTTGCACAAGAAGCTTCTCGCGGTGTATATGATCAAGAGTCAAGACATTTCACAACATGACTTGTAAAGTTACAGATTCATCGATCAAATCCAGTTAATTTACGCATCCAAAATCAAAGATATTGTTTAAAATCAAAGTAAAATTCCAGAAGGTAAGAACTTTTCTGTTCTGTTTTTTTGTTCTACTATTTTAAGAAAGTGTCATAAGAGAGAAATAAAGGCGAAAGATCTCAAACGTTGATTTAACAACTATATATTTACAGATGGCATTGCCACAAAACCTCACACCCTGATCCAGTCTCAAATCGTAGAAACAGTTGCAATATCATTTCCTTACAAATCCAAGCATATATAATATGTTTCTGAAAACCAAGAAAAAAGAAGTCTACATAAAATCGCCTGATCAAACTTCCTATCTCGAACGACTCCTCTTCATCTTGGAAACCTTTCCGAGCGGCTGAGCTGCAGCATAACGAACCAACGGCAGCACCTGACTCATCGGAGGCCGGTCACGTGCCTGTACGTTGATACACCTCCTCGCAGTCTCGAATAATCTCACTAAACCGTCACGCGAATACCTAGGACCAAGCGCAACATCAACCACCAGAGGTATGTTCTCCTGTCTACTCCATACTGGCTTCATCTGCAACGAAGAAAACATCCCACAAAACCCAAACTTGTATGTTACTTGGAGAACAAGAAACCTATAAAAAAACTAAACCTAAGAATCAATGTTTCATACCCAATCAGCGATCTTCCATGTGTCAGAAGGTCTCCTAAAATCACAAGCCTTCCTTCCAGTGAAAAGCGTAAGCAGAAAGATTCCATAGCTGTAGACATCGGACTTCGACGAAACCAAACCCGACTCCTCTGTTTCCGGCGCGACGCATCCCGGTGTTCCCTTGATCGGACTGATCTCTATCTGCCGCTCACCACCATATCTACCTGTAACCATCTGACTCGCCAATCCAAAATCTGTCAGCTTCGGGACGAAATTCTCGTCAAGCAAAACGTTTGCAACCTTGACGTCTCTGTGAATCACTCTCAGCGTCCCGTGTAGATAGTTCAGAGCTTCAGCTACACCCACTGCAATGCTCATCCTCGTTTCCCAATCCAAAACCGCATACTCTTGTGGTAGACCCGGACCCGGCTTTGTGTTTGCTACACAAGCAAGAGCAACACAAACTCAAAAATCAATAAAGTTCGGATTTTTAAAGAAACCCAAGAACAGAGTCATGTCAAGTTTGATTGTTACCGTATATGTGGTGGTCGAGAGAGCCTTTAGGCATGAATTCGTAGACTATGACACTGTGATCTTTACCGAAACATTTGCCGAGAAGTTGAATCACGTTCGGGTGATTTGCGTCTTCTAACACTGTAATCTCTGCGACGAACTCCTTATGAGCAGATGCGTTGCCTAGTTTTTGAACCTTTGCAGCTCCGACCTAGAAAGTTGTTAGCTTTTAGCAAATGGGTTTTCGATTTTTGAACCATAAAGGACAAGACTTTTTTTCTCTGGGTTTATGTATACCTTATCAAATTCTGGGAAATCGCAGCGATAGACATTACCGAAGTTTCCTTGGCCGAGATAATTTTCGCGGCTGAAGTCTTGAGTTCCGGCTACGATATCGGTCCACGGGAATGTGATTCCACATTTTAAAAGTAGAAGGGGAGATAAAGCCTGACGATTCTTCTGTGTCGAATCTGCAAAATGAGTTACTTCAAAGTCAAGAAACCCTAAATCAATCTCCTTTATTCTTTCACAAGATCCAGAGAAAACGAAGTAACTCTAAAGAAAACAGAGTACTTGTGAAACAGAGCAAGAGACAAATTGGAGTTTCAAAAGATTGAGAAAGGGGGGAAAAAAAAGAAACGAACTTCGTGGAAGACGATCGTCTGGTGGTTCGATGTTGTTGCGCCGAGCGTAATTGAGGAACTCGTTACTGCCAAATGGGTGTGCTTCGTCTACATCGTCGTTCTCGTTGTTGACATTTTCCGGTGAATGCGGTGGTTCACGTTGTCCCGGTGGTGCTTGCTCTCCCTGACGTGAGCCTTCTCCTTTGAGACAACAGAAGAATCTCTTCATCGCAGCGAAGCGATCAACGAAGATAAAATATTTCTTGAAGCTTTTCTTTTCTTTTTCCCGAGAAACTCCTCCTCCCGGAAAATGTGAAGTTAATCTAACAGTCTCTGCGCGAGAAAACTAGAAGCGAGAGATGGTTGCAGAGTCGGATGATGAAGACTAAATGATCATATATAGAGAGCATAAGCGCTCAATGCATCATTTAAAAAGAAAATAATGCGCAAAATAAATTCATGGATAATAACAGAATCACAGTTAATTATAAATGATTGTTTATAGTAAACAAATACAATAGCAACAGTAACAGGTTTGAAGAAATATGAGATTTAAACAAGACAACTTTACTAACACATCATCCTTCTTAGACTTTATTAAACGAAATGGAGAAAAACATAGAATTATCAAAGACATAACGAAAAAAGAATCCAAAAAAGGCCATTGAAGAGAACCTCTGTTGCAGAGACAATGTCTCTTTGTGAAACTTTCTTTTGTTCTTCATATCTTCCAATTGAGTCTCTCTTCCATTAACTACTTCTGTTATTGCATTTGCTCAACTGTCGTCACTGCTCGGACACTCATTTCCCGATTTAGAATCATCCCTCCTAAAAGGCAAATGACTCCATGAGTACAATATTACTAATACTGTAGATAAAGAGACTTTGAGGAAGAGTGAGGAATCTTAAAAAGGAGTTTAACATACTTGCGAATGAATTGGCCTTTGACGCGAGGCCGTTGCTCAGCTAGTTTCTTCCTGCTATGGTACCTGACCTAAAACAAAACAGAACAACCAAAAAAGGTGACAACTTTCGTCTCAGGAAACAAGAGCTTAAGCTTGTTTACAGATTACCTTTTTCTCAAAACATCTCTCTTTACGTTTCAGGCGAAACTTCATCAAAGCAGCTTGTCTTTGTGCCGCTCGTTCACTTCCAATAGACTCCTGATTCAAAGGATCATCACTGCTCGAACCAGAACCATTCGTTTTTGCAACCGAACTGTCATGAGGAGAACAACTTCCCACATTTTCTTCTGGAGCCTACTCAGCAAAAAATTCAAGCTTTTAATGAAACTAGCATAGATTTTAAAGACAGCACCAAGCATTGTAGACAGTACCTTATTGGCAGAAGTAGCACCGTTATTGTATCTGAACATCACACAAGAAACAATTAACTCCAAATATCAGTCACAGGTTCGACATTTCTTTCGCAGCTGAAGTCAAGAACTTACTTTGAGAATGCAGAGTGATTCGAATGCCTCAAAACACTTCCATCACAGATTCTGTAATCTCCAGCGTCTCTTGGTTTTTTCAGAGTTAGCTCGAGTGAATGCAAATCTTCCGGACTAGGTGAAGGTGTTTTGCTTTCTACTTGTGAGTCACCAGAAGAGCGATTAAGCATGTCATCGTTGTTTCTCTCCAAAGCTTCAACAGAGTACTTTGCATCCTTTTCTAGATTTCCCGGTTCTTCAGATTTCTTACTCATACACTTTCCTGCCTTCGATCTCATGCCTGAATGCGACATCTTCCAAAGATCATCATTTCGAACGACACTAAACAGGACTGACTATGAGTTCGTGTTCGTACCTATTTGTTCATTCTGATCTTCAACTTCCTTCAGTACTTCAACGCTGTTAATATCACCACCTCTGTTGGTCCAAGAACTCTATTTTCACAATGCAAAACCAATCAAGAAGTCATAAACATGTTTCCTCAGACATCGCTATAATCTATCCCAGTAGAAAACAGATTACCTGAGGCTGAGTTCCACTCCCGTTATCACTCCCACCATCTCCATTACTCAAGCCATTACTTTCATTCCCCTGATCTTCATCACTATCGTTCTCTGACCCTTCAGTGCTTTCAGTTTTCACCGACTTCTTGTTCTGTATCCCACTCTCACTCCCGCTACCGCTAGACTAGCAAATCAAGAAACGCATAAGTAAAAAAAAAACAAAGAGTAATTTTTTTTTGTGAAAACAGGTAATCAAAGCAGAGCTCTTACGCTGTGGCATCTTCTCCAGACATGCTGCCAGAGATTCTTCAGCTCGTTTTTTCTAATGGGTTTCACGAGAAAATCAACAGCACCATTTGACAAACACTTGAACACCAGAACCATAGAATCTTGAGATGACATCACTACAAAAAGGTGTTACACGAAAATGAGCATCACATACTGAAACTAGATCAGGCCAATATAGTGGTGGAGGGTTTAAGCAAGTACTTATGACGGGGATGTTCTTAAGTGTCTCATGGCTCATAATCTTGCACAGCAGTCCGGTTCCAGAGCTCACAGGCATGACAACCTCTGCTAAGACAAGATCTATGCAACTGTTCTCGTCTTCTAGGATCCTCCAGGCTTCAAATGCATCCGAAACAGCAGTAACTGACAAAAAGTTTCCAAATTTACAACATTTAGTTAGAAGGAAGTTAAACATCGTGATTCCTAAACAAGGATGATCAAATTCAATCAAAATACCTTCATAACTGCAGTTCTTTAAAAGGGCAGTAACAATTTGGCGTGTGGAGTCATCATTCTCCACTAAAAGAACCTTCAGCGATCTAACTGGGAGATACCTCTCCCACTTCACAACAGGAGCTAATGGTTGTTGTTGTTGTTGAGAAATTTGTAACAAATTGTTGGCATTTCCAACGGTATCTTCGACTCGAAATTCATCTTCTTCAGATGAATCATCAAACACTTGTCTCTCGGTTTCGACTTCATTAGCGGTTTCCTTGTTATTGGAACACATCTTTTAAAGTACTGACTTTATCATGACAGCGTCAAGACCAGCCTCCATGAACAAGATAGAATAAAAGCAGCATCGAATAACAAGTGAGATTCTGCAGAAACTTCCCCTCTACTTTGACATAACATTTGCACATTTCGTCTTTCGCCAAACTTATCCTAATCCTTTCACCAAAACCTCAACCCAATTAGAAAGAAGAAAAAGAACAACATTCCTTAAGATAATAAGACCAAAAAGGCTTAACTAAGCATGTCAAGTCAAATTACAATAATAAGATAATAAGAGTCATTTCAGAGACATTGAACACACACACTCTTATATCTGAGATCTTGGATCTCCTGCTTTCTCAAGATACTAGAAATTCCTCAGAATCCAGATAGAAAATCAAAGCTATGATACAAAATGGGAACAAAACAGGAACGAAAAAAAAGCAAACCTTTTTAGCTCAAAGCTAATCCATAGATGAAGAACACACCACCGCCACCAGAATCTCTCACCATACCTGACTGTGAAAACCAAATATCACGAGAAATAACAGATTCTGTTTTTTTTCACTGCTTAATCTGGTTTGCTTAGCATTTTATCACCTAATCTAAGTCAATGGTTTTCAAAATCACAGAATCCAGTTGCTACTAAACTAGAAAAATATGATTATATGAAAGGCGAGAAAAGCTGTTGACTGGTGAGGAAATTGAGGCTACAAAAAGAAACTTAAGAGAGAAGATTAGAAGATTGAGAAACTATGGGCGAAAGTGGGCAATGGAGAGGAAAGTCAGAAGATATTATTTTTGGGGTTGCTGACATGGCACATTATTAGCCTACGTGTAATGTGGGACCCAACGTTCGTGTTATTGGTCTAATGCGGACAACAAAATCAAAAGCTGGGAGCCTGTGACTCAATTTCGGTATGCAATTAAACCGAATCTTTTCACGGTGAAATCTGAAATGATTCGGTTCTCTCATGAACGATATATAGAGCTTGGAGTTGAGAAAACGACGACAATACATTTAATCTTATATATATTTCTTGCAATCAATCATTTCAGAAAACAATAATACTTCTTTTTTTCTTTCAGTGGATCCCTTAACTTTCAGAAAAATGTCGTTATACTGTAATTTGTTCTCTAGCTTTACAGCTATATATAGTTTTATCAAAAATCACTTATTCTGTACAGAGAGTCTTAGAGAATAATAGTATACTCACAAAAATTCAGATAATTTTATTTGTACATATATCATTCTCCTTGAAAACTCTTTAAGGTTAGGATTTTGATGACTTAGTGAGCTTGGAAATTTTATTATTGGGATTCATCAAAAACAAACATCCATTATTCAAAATAACCAATCATTACAAAACTAGTCATGAAAATGCATAAACTTTGTTGAATCAAGTCGGGTTAGAAAAGGTTAAATACGATTAACGAAATGGAATAATAATAATGTGTTTCACATAGTTCAACTGCAAATACTCAATAAAATATGCGTGCCAATGCCATTTCCTATATTATATACCGTGTAGAAGGGTATAAGGTATAACCGAAATTTAATAATCGCACGAAATAATGGCCAACTTGTTCTTGCCGTGTCACATCGTACCAAAAACAGTATTTAATGTTTTGAAATAATTAATCAATCTTAATATAGTAACCGAATGGTCATGGACTTTGTCGACAAGTATGATAGTTATATAGACAAATTAGGTATGGAGATTTGCCAAGAAGAAGAAAAACATTTTCCTTTAAAGGGTAGGACTACGTCCACGTCTTTCAATCTATGTTAGACCCTTATAATAAAAGATGCAATTGGTTTTGAGTCTCGACTTATAATAAAAAGAAAGATGCGACTGATAATAGGGACTGTTTTCTTTCGAACATATATAAACAAGAGAAAATATTGCAACAACAGTGAACCTTTTAATATTCAAACAAGGTTCTATATCTAAAATTGTTAACTTGTCATTTTTTCATACTTATAACTAATTACTAATTTAAAACATCTGATTGGTACTACCATTTAGTATTTTATGGAAGCAATTAGAAGATGACGGTAAGAAAAGTGGTGGACTAGCTAGAAGTACCATCATTTTACTACATGATAAAGAATTAAAAAGACAGTAACAACGTTATTTTAACTAGCTTGAAAATATCTATTAAAGTGTAGGTGAATATACTATATAACTGCAAACTGTGAAAATGTAGAAATGAAGAAAGAGCATGAAGGTGAAAATATATATATGCAAAAATTATTTTCTTAAAGATTACTAGAAAAGAATTCGCAAATTTCTTTGCCCCAAAAGAAAAAAAAAAAAGAAGAATTCCTAAATTTCAGGAAAGTAAGAACGGACGTGGGCCGTCAGATCAGATAGACAGATGAGGAAGATTTTGACCTGCGAGTATGAGAGAGTAGTTGAATGGCTGGGGTTCAATCTATGTTGTACACGTGGCTACATTTTACTCGTTGAAATTCATGATCTTCGAGATTTTTCTGACATTCCACTTTTGGCAACCGGCTAAAGCCAGTTGAAATTATCATTTGACCTACCCCACTGCCACTAGATAAACATTTTAAAGGAAGAGAGATTCGTTTGGACACAACTAAAGATATTTTTTAGGGTCATTTTCATTTTTCTCCCGTAACCTGAGTTCGAACCTTAGATGCGAAATAAAGTTGTCTGTTTTTTTTTTTTTTTTTTGTAAGCGGAATTTGATGCAAAATAAAGTTGCAGAATGAAATATACCTACCGGCTTAACACGACTAAGACAAAGCTTTATAATTTGTAGTATTAGTATTGTTCTGATTCAGTAACTATAATTTATATTTATCAATGATAAACCAAATCATTTTGTGAGCTAATAGGGTTTATCGTATTTTTGTATTTGTCATAAAACAGGGTTATAATCTTATTTATAGAAAGTGAGTTTTATTTTGTTTTTCTCTAGAAACATCCACATCAACAAAAGAATTGGCGATGAAAGCAAGACATATACATATATACACATCTAGGAATATTAATTGGGGTTCATTCTTGAAATTTGGAGATTAAGAGCAATGTTTGGTCCTACTCCCCTATGAATCGACTTTGGATATAACTGTACTTGTTATCAAATATACCTAACGACTTAATCTCCTAGTCCTAGCATATGAAAGATGATTGGTTGAGGTTTTAAAAGTATATAGCTTTGTCGCTTTGCAAAAGAAGAACAGTATTGCTTTCTTATATTATCCGAATGAGTTTTTACACTTTTTTGGTTATCCATCTTAAACCTCTACAGAGATTTTATTCGACAGTCTCTAATTCTCTATATATGTTTCATATTGCTCTTAGGCTATAATATGACTTGTAGGATTCTAGCCTGTGGGAGTTAATTGATAGTTTGATACTAGCACATATAGTTTATCTTCCATCTTCGTTTACGTTATCACCAATTTACAAACTACTTGGGATACTCGTTGTCCTTTTAAATCAATAAAACCATGATATCATATCCTTCCTCACTCTTCTTATAGAATTTCTTTATCTATTTTTTTTTGTTTTTGCCGTGTGAGGAAGACATATCTGCAAATATAGGACCCGCCCATAAATGAAAACAAATGCTTTGTCTTCAAAGTTGTGAATGAGTAGATTCGTTTTTCTTTTTCCGATTTTTGTGATGTCTATTTAGTACAGTATTCAATAACAATAAACTATACATACAACCACTATAGTTTTAGTACAATGCTTTTACAGTATAACAGTGTCATTACAATAATAGTAACTTTATTACAGTATCATTTTTAGCAAAAAAAAAGAAAAAATTATTACAGTATCATGCTTCACTTTTGATTTTACAGTGTAGAATAAACAAAACAAGTAGCACGTTTTACTTTTCCCAATGAAACCGGTCACCGGCAATAAGCAGTGTCCAATTGCCGAGAAAGATGGAACGAATAATAATATTTATATGTTCCTTTGTTGCCTGTTGCCACTAACGAAGGCTCTCACGTCCCATCATTCCCGTTTTTGAGCCGACGATTATCTCTTCGTCGGCGAAGCTATTCACATTCTCTTCAAATCCCCAGACTGAAACTCCCATCGCCATGTCTCCCGAATCTCGTATTTCCCCGTAGCGATCGAGTTTTTCCTTCTCCCTAATTATTCCTTAATCCGTCGCGAATCCTAGCTCTTCTTCGATTGATTTCGCAATCTAATCTCCGTCTCTTGTTTCGAATTTCCGATGGAAATGTGATTTTTGAGCTCTGTTCATTTAAAATCGACGGCGATCGCCGAATTTGCTGGCCGGATTGGTGAGAGAGCTTGATCAATGTGCAAGGGATTGACGAAATAGCTGTGGTTTATTTTTCTTCTGAAATCTCAGAGTTTCTAACTTTTGTTGACTTTTGAGATTGATGCTGGATCTCAATCTCGAGGTCGAGTCGGCTGAGTCTACTCAGAACGGACGAGATTCAGCTGCTGTGAAGGGGGTTTCTGGTGGTGCTTTAACTCAGATGGATGAATCGGTGACGTCGAACTCGTCGGTAGTCAATGCGGAAGCGTCGAGCTGCATCGACGGCGAAGAGGAGCTCTGCTCAACGCGCGCCGTCAAGTTTCAGTTTGAAATCCTGAAAGGAGGCGGCGGGGATGAAGACGACGAAGAAGAGAGAAGTGCGGTGAGGACTAAGGAGTTTTTTCCCGTTGGAAACAGCATGAATTTTCTGGATTCGAGCGCGCAAAGCTCCAGGAGCTCCGTTGATATTTCCTTCCAGACGGGGAAACAAGACGGGGACTTTGCCGGCGGGGAAGCTGCTCGGGTGATGCAGCCACCGTCACAGCCGGTGAAGAAAAGCAGGAGAGGGCCTAGGTCAAAGAGTTCTCAGTATAGAGGCGTCACTTTCTATAGGAGGACAGGCAGATGGGAATCGCATATCTGGTAAATCTACTTCTGATTGATTCATCTTTCAGGTCAAAGCTCGATCTTTGATTTTGTATTAATCTTTTTCTCTTTGTTAATTTTCCTGGTTGCAGGGATTGTGGCAAACAAGTTTATTTAGGTATGGATTGGATTCTATTGGTTTTACCACTGTGAGCTGATTTCAGCTGTGCTCTCAACTCTCTAATGAAAGCTTAACTTTTGACTTCAACAGGTGGATTTGACACTGCCCACGCTGCAGCTAGGTAATGCCTTTTTAGAAGTTACGTTATTTTGTTTGATCTAAGTGATAATGTGTGTTTAATAAGCTCAATATCTGCTCGTGTAGGGCGTATGACCGAGCTGCTGTCAAGTTCCGGGGTCTGGAGGCTGACATCAATTTCGTTATAAGCGATTATGAAGAGGATCTCAAGCAGGTTTTTGATTGCAGATGGTAGAAAATATAGTGAAGGGATGCGTGCTTTGATGTGTTCTGATCTTGTTTTCGAACTTTTACAGATGGCGAATCTTTCGAAAGAGGAAGTTGTGCAAGTACTTCGGCGACAGAGCTCTGGCTTCTCGAGGAATAATTCAAGATATCAAGGAGTTGCTTTGCAGAAGATTGGCGGGTGGGGAGCTCAAATGGAGCAGTTTCATGGAAACATGTAATCAAAATTCTCTTGGTATCTAGTTTTGGGCTTTTACACATGCTATGTTCTTTGTGGTTTTATCTGAATGTGCTCGTGAGTCACTGATAAAAGGAGTGAAGAGTTGGTTCTTTTTTCGTTCATGTGAAAAAGTTTATGTTAGAACCATTAGTAGGAATTAGAGTTTAAGCTAAATGTTCTTGGTGATCGTAAATTACATTATGATGAAGTATCCTGAATCGTTGATCTGTTAGGAAATTTTGCAATACTAATCTCTCAGATTCTTATGGAATTAGGGCGTGTGACAAGGCAGCCATACAATGGAATGGAAGGGAAGCTGCTTCTTTAATAGAGCCTCATGCGTCCCGGATGATTCCCGAGGCAGGTAATGTAGCTGATGCTCGGTTCCTTGCTTGTTAAACTGGTCATTGTTATCCAGCTTTTGCTGTCAATACGTGAGAATTTACTACAAACCTGTTGACTTGCTTGCTGGTGTCTTTATTTAGCTAATGTTAAGCTCGACCTCAACTTGGGAATCTCTCTTTCACTGGGAGATGGTCCAAAGCACAAAGATAGGACTCTCCGGCCTCACCATGCCTCTAACAGTATCATATGTGGAAGGAACTCCAAGGTGCCTTTTTTCTCCATATCTCGTCACGATTTGCAACTTAAAAGCCACTTTCCCATTAGCTAGCTCGAGTCCTCATTGGTTCTGTCTTGATTCATGAAATTCTTATATATATACACAGATGGAGAACCACATGGCTGCAGCGGCAGGTGATACGCCTTTCAATTTCTTGAAGAGAGGTTCTGAACATCTTATGAACCGCCATGTCATTCCTTCTGCCTTCTTTTCTCCCATGGTAAATTGAGCTTGACATAGTGATATCCTTTGAGTATAGTTCTGTGTTGTGATATATGCGCTAAAAGCTCTCAACTAATGTCTCCAGGAAAGAACACCTTTGACACGTTCTCCTCAAAGCTTCCCAGCCAGGACATGGCAAATGCAAGATCAGTCCAGTGGTGGAACCGCCACGACAGCTACAACGTCGACACTGTTCTCAAATGCAGCAGCATCATCAGGATTCTCACTCTCAGCAACACGCCCTCCTTCTTCGTCCACTGCTACTACTCTTCATCCTTCTCAGCCCTTCCTCAATCTCAACATGCCCGGTCTCTATGTCCTCCACCCATCTGATTACGCATCTCAACAACAACAACACCACAATCTCATGAACCGCTCACAACCACCACCACCATAGCTTCCTGCTTCCCCAACCAAACTCAAGGTAAGACTTTCTGTGAAGTCTTCTGCACTTTTTTTCAATAGTTTTTTAAGGTCCTATAAAACTAGGAGTATTAACTAACATTCTTCTCACGTGAACATGCAGGTTCTAAAACAGCCCTGAAGTTGGAATAACTTTGGACCCAACCGAGGAAAGTCAATACGATTATGATTTCTCCCAAAACCTCTTGTACTATATTTGCCATTGTTTGGTTCTCTTTTGATTTGTAACATAAACGGTGGGCTAATAACAACTCAGAAACTCAAAAGCCATTTGTAATTTTACTATAATGTCTCTCTAAGATACAATCCGACCCAAAGGATGACCTTGTTCGAACAAATGTAAGTTCAAAATCAGTCTATTTGTATGAAAGATACTATGAGATTGTTCCCTTCTTGTTGCAGCCATACAGAACAAAAGGAGATATACTTTTGCCAATTGTTCATTTGACTATAAAGTCTTAATCAACTTGAAAACATCTCTCTCACACTCAGAAGTCACATCTACGATTACATAAGACTCATAAAAAGCGTAACGAAGAGATTAACCGCGGATGATGTGGACCTTGATCGTATGAACCAGATTATTATTACCTGTCTTCATCACCTCGCACACCATTTTATCGGTTGTCTTGACTACATTCCTTCTGAGTACACTTCCAAATCCCATGACAAACACAACCCTATTCACCTGAATCCTGACTTTCCTCTCCAGTGGCCCGTAATTGTTCGAGAGTGGGTCAACAATAGATATCCGCTCAGGGAAGTTTAAGCCATAGTCCTTGATCACCATAGCCGGGATGGGCTGTATTGTAAGAAAAAAAAAACATCATTAAACAGAAACTGATTTTGATTGATGCATTCACATAAAAAAAAACATATAACCTCCAAAGATGTTAAAATAGAAATGTGAAATGATCTTTAAACAAGCAAATTTCTTCTTTCTTACCAATTGGCTTGCCTTCTTCGGATTTAGGAACGCAGTAAAGTAGGGGTTTTCTTTATCATCCAGATACTTTCTGTCATCATCATCATCCTCAGCCTCATCATCATCATCATCATTATAGTCAGCATTGTCATCATCATCAGCATCTTCTTCTTCAGCATCAGATTCCTCCTTGATCTCGTTCGTTTGCTCTGAACTTCTCCTTCTCAGCCTTTTACACATGGTTCGAGCATCATAGATACAGAAGTTGAAGCAACGAGAGCCGTCGAACTCAAACGTCAAGAGATCTCCACCGTTGAGAGTTTCATCCTTTGCAATCCTCTTCCACCCGTTAACGAGAGCGTATCTCTCAACATCATCGCCTCCGCATTTCCTCAACGCCAGTTTCCAAGTCTTCCCGTAAATACTCCTAACCGTAACATTTCTTGGCAAAGGTTTTGGTAACGAGCTGTTGAAAGAGACCGGAAAATCCTGAGAGTAACCATAAGAAGAACAACATGTAAAGAAGAAACCCATAAACTAGAACAAAAAAAAAAGAGTGAAGAGACTGTTTTACCAGATCATCTCCGGATTCATCTGGTAAGTAAACTTTGAAGAACTTTGAATAACTTCCTGTTTCCAAATTTTGTTAAAAAAAAATCAGAAAAATAGGATACATTGCTACTGAAAATTCAACAACAAGGAAGAGACTAAAGAACAAAACCTTTGTGCATTGACATGCTCTTGATCTTGGTCTCTTCTCTCCGCCTCTCAGAAACCTTAAGCTCTTTATTTTTCTTTCCCAAGACTTATTTTTGCAGATCTCAAAGATTCATCACATGATTTTTAAGTCTTCTGTACAAAACTTGGAAAAAAACAGAGAGAAGTTTCTGTTTATACGTTTCTAGCTTCAAATGGAAAACAGACCTACTAATAGTATAATTTTTTCCTTTTTAATAAATTTTAAATTTCGTTAAGAGGACCAAAGTATTACCAAGGACCACAACACACGAGAAATGGGCCTAAAGCTTGGTCTATCCAATACGGTTTTTTAAAGACAATACTGTGCAGAAACTACTTACAACTTGCAAGAGAGTTGATTTGTATAGACAAACATGAACATTGATTTTGTTGCAAGAGAACTGATAAGATTTACGAACTAAGATTATTTATATAACACCTCAACAGACCATATCAATTGTCTTGGTTAAATTAAGAAAACATAACACCAAAATCAAGAGTTATTCAGCATTCTTACATAAAACTTTTGGTGCTTAGTGATAACACAAGGAGCTTCTTCATCCACTTATAACATGGACTTTGATCTCACGAACAAGACCATTCATCTCAGTCTTCAACTCGCAGATCATTTTGTCAGTAGACTTCACTTTGTTCCTCCTGATTACACTTTGGAATCCCTTGATTGTATGTCCCTCAACTTTCCTCCTCAACTTCCCAAATGTTTTCTCCAAAGGGTCAATGAGATTGATGAACTCAGGGAAGTGTAAGCCATAGTCCCTAATGACCTTAGCCTGCATGCACTTTCATTGCAAATAAAACATAGCATCAACACATGAACTGATGATTAAGAAAGATATGAGAGATTACACATTTTTCTTACCAGATCGATTTTCCTTTGCCGATTCAGGTTCACCTTAAAGAACGGGTTCATGTAGTTATCCAGATATTGTCTCTCATCTCCACCATCACTCTTCTTCGAGACTTCATAAGAACAAATTTATATACACAAGAAAAAAAAAAAGTTAGCGATGCTTAATTAGCTTCACAAAACCAAAAGTTTCTTCTACTATACCTTTCTCTTTGATCTCAGCTTCATCATCTTGATCACCATCAGCATAATCATCTTCATCCTCCTCCTCCTCCTCCTCCTCATCACCATCAGCATAATCATCATCTTCCTCATCATCATCATTAAGAACTATGATATCTTCACTGGATCTATCTTGATCATCATCATCACTAAGAACAATGACATCTTCACTACATTTCTCTTCGTCACCAGAATCTTCATCATCATCCTCATCACCATCATCATCATAATCATCATCATCCTCATCATCATCACTATCAATAGCTATGATCTCCACACTAGATTTCTCATCTTCATCTTCACCACCATCAGATTCAACTTCGGCCGGTTTGGATCTCACTGAACTTGCAAGCCTTTTACACGTGGTGTGACCATAAACACAGAAATTGAAGAGCCTCGAGCCATCAAACTCAAACGTCAAGAACTCACCGCCCTTGAGATCCTCGTCTTTAACGATTCTCTTCCATCCATCAACCATAGCATATTTCTCAATATCACCACTACACTTACTCAGCTTCAGTTTCCAAACTTTCCCATAAATACTTCTAACAATTACGTTCTTAGGCAAAGGCTTTGGTAAGCAGCTGTTGAAAGAAATGGGTATGTCCTGCATAGGATCTAACAGTTTCAACCATCTTGAAATCTACTGATGAACAATGCAAGAACAAGAAAAGAAAAAACAGAGTGAAGAGAAGTGTGTGTTTTTACCAGATCAGCTCCGGAATCATCAGGTAAGTACACTTTGAAGAATTTTGGAAGACAATCATCCGACGAATATTCTGTTTCTAAATAAAAAAAACATATCAGAAAATGGGATAGATAATAACCTGAGAATCAAGAACAAAAGAAGAGACTAAAGAAGAAACCTTTGTCCATTGTCAGTTGTCACCTCTCTTCTCCGGCTCTCAGAAACCTTAGATTCTTTGTTGTAATAATTACTTTGAAAGAGTGAGGAAACAAGAATCTTGTTTCTTGTTCACAGATCTCAAGATTTTTAGAGATTTTGCCGTTTCTAGGATGAAACAGAGGCTGTCCTCTTTTAAACGTTTGTTGCTTCAAATGGGAAAAGTAAACATTAATTGTTGGTACTCACTACTTTTTACTTGGGGTGGGTGCTCCATAAAGTGAACAGATCCGGTTTAAATCGAACCGGGAAGACTTATTGTAATATGGAACTTGTAAATGAATATATGCTTATATGCAAATACTGTAAATGGATGCATTTATTCAGTTACATTGACATTTGCATTTTGCACATTGATTGTTTTTTCCTAAAACCGAAAAAGTCCGAACCAAAATCAAAATTCAACTAAAGAACCAAATTTCAAATTTGTAACCAAACTCAGTGTTTAAGATAACCAAAGTGAGGTCAAGGCCCACAAAACAAGTAACGGGCTTAAGATCCGCCCCAGTATGTTAGATGACAATATTGTCCTGGGATAATTGAAGGACGTTGTACCGATAGTGAAGAGTCGAGTGAGGGTGACGTGGTCAATTCACAAGATCCGTCTGGTCACCGATCGTCTTTTCCGTCGTCTATCTTTATTTCAATTTCAAGTTTTTCAACGTCTTCCCGCTTACGAGGCCGGAATATTCTTTCTACATCCGCCGATCTATTTCCGATTTCCGACCACGGTATTCGCCTATCCGTTTCCGAGTTCCGACGAGTGTGTTCTCAGAGAGACGATTTCGGATTTATCATTTTTCAGATCTAGGACTGCTGCTGCATTCTTAAGGTGAAGGGGGTGAGAAGAAAACGAAGGCAGTAATGGAGAATGATCTCTTAGATATCTCTGGCGAAGACGAAGACAATTGGCTTCTGAAAAACACGCCGAAGAGAGGCGTTACGTCTTTTGCCGGCGGTAGTTCGAGACGAGAAAAGAGTTATTTTGATTGCTCACCTCTAGAAATCCCTAGATCGAGCCGCACCCTTCCTCCTCGCCCTCCTTTTTCTCCAATTGGTAAGCGCTTCGATTTCTGGATCCGATTTTAGCTCTGGGTGAAATGCTTTCTCACTCTTCAAGTGATTGCTTAAACTGGTTTATCACTCTTCGCCGAGTGATTATTGTCTCTCATCCTAGGAAATGTGAATCTGGATTAGTGTACCTTTATGCATTGTTTGAAAAAAAATGGCGATTTGGATGTTCATTATGCAGTAGAAATTTGTGTGTTTTTGGGGATAAATGAAGGTTCATTGTAATTGCAGGAAGAGTAACAAGCAACAACATGATTGAGCAGCCGAGCTCTTTTGTTGATACAGAAAATGTAGGCAAGGAGAATACTAGTGGGAACAAAGTTGAATTGCTGAAACTGAGTGTAGAGCGACAACAGATGAAGAAGAAGAAAAAGAATGCTGGATTTAACTTGCGGAAAAGCTTAGCATGGGATAGAGCTTTTTCTACTGAAGAAGGTTACTATTTTTTATGGATTTCTTTAGCTTTCTTAGTTAGATTTTGTCGTAAAAGGTAGTAAGATGTGTGATATGATTGTGAACCAGGTGTTTTGGATTCGGATGAGCTATCCAAAATAACTGAAGGTCTGTTACCTGCCATCCAGGAAGAGTTCAGAGAGTCAACGTCATCTTCCAAATGCACCAGTGTTTCACCAGGACTACAAGCACTTGAGGAAAACTTATTTAACGACTTGCCTGTGAATAGTAAAAAGAGGGAGAAGAAGTTTGTGAGTGGCACAGTGGCGAAGTACGCATCACCGTCGAAAGCCCAACCTTCGAAGCACGCATCACCATCTAAACCCCAAACTTCCATGGTGAGTTTACTTGACATGGATCAGTTGTTTCTCACAATGTTCTTTATGTAGCAAAAAGAATTATTCTTAGGCACGTTTTAATATACAATGTCAAATGTCTGCATTGTAGGCCCAGAAAAAAGTAATTTCAGCTCAGGATGTGAGGAGCGGTTCCAAACGCAGTGGCTGTCCCCGGCCTCTTCCTTCATCTTCATATCCTTTTATTACTTAGAGTACTGGGTGTTTAGGCAATTACTATCCATGCTTTTCTGGTTTCTTTCTTTTAGCTTGTTTACCTTAATTTCATTGAACCTTAAAAAGACCAGCAAATGTGCATACGACAACTCAACGTAGCAGGGAGCTGAGCTTTTCTAAAGTTTCTACTACCAAATCTGATTCTCTCACAGTTGCAAACAACATGAAGAGGACTATTCAAAGTCCAAGCAAACCGAAACTAAGTCAACCTACTCAATCAAGTATGTCCGAATTCAGTTAGCATATGGAACCTATGTATCTCACATCGCTTTCTTCTTCTAATTTTTTTAGCAAATGCATTTGCAGGATCTTGTTTATACATTGCTTGTTAATCGCATTACCTTTGTTATTTCTTATGATACGACAGAGAATCCTCAGAGGAGCTTAGGATCTGTAAGCTTCTCTCAAAGCACTTTAAACACCAAGAGTAAAACAAAATTCAGCGTGGCGAGCAGATCTTCAATTCCAAAGCCCTCTCTCAAGCAAGTTAGAAGAAATGTGGTAAAGCTATCCTGCCCTCTGCAAACTAAAATAGCAGTTATATTATGTGCTAGAAATCTGCAGCTAAAGTTTTCTTTTCCATCGTTTTCCAATTGAGAGTAATATATTGCGTTTCTTGAACTCTAGATCAGCAAATCATCAGAAGTTCCATCAGTATCCCTCTCACAAAATTCTGTTGTTGGAAAGTCCAAAGATGGCCCTATGACTTCATCAGATGTGGCTATGCTTGGTCATGCATCAATTTCCGCCGACTCTGATGTAATTACTATGGACACCACGTTAGTTCAAAGTTCTCGCAGTAAAGTTGGAAACACGCAGCCTGCAGTTTCACGACTGGGAAAGCCATCAGGTTTAAGAGCGCCGTCACCTTCAATTGGCTATTTCAGTCAGGTATATTATAGAAATATACCGAACGCTGTCATGTTTGATATCTTGTAGATCTTTGAGGGTCATAACTATGGATTGTGCTCGTAATATCTCATACTTCATATTCCTGGTTTTTGCAGTCGGATTCTCAACCGTCACACAGTTCAGGAGACAAACATAGCCAGCCTTCAGCTTCTTTGATTCCTACCTTCAACAAACCCCAAGTTTCTGGGAAAGTTCCCGGTGTTAACTCCAAGTCAGGAATTAGAAACACTGGCAATTCAGGTTCAGCGGCAAGTTTGTCTGCTCAATCTAAAGTCCTCAAACCTTCACAAGAAAAGGTGAAAGTAGACTTGAAAAGCACTCGGGAGTTAGAATCCGAAGCGGCGTCTTGTTCACTGAGTTCTCGGATAAATGAAAGACTGCAGCATCCATGCATCATTCAAGGTGATACTGGAAAATTAGTTCTGGATGATGTAGATAGTTGTACATCTGAGAAGGTTTCTACTGCGAAGTGTGAAAATGTCCAGAGCAACAGTAAGCTGCCGGTCTCAAGCTGCAAAAATAATGTACAAGATGATCATATAACTGATGATTATAGGGATGAGAAAAGGAAGAGTTGCTGGTCAGTAGAGGAAATCTGTGCTTTACCGCTTAAACATGGTCCAATTTTCAAAGTTTCCATGGATTCTGAGGTGCAGGATCATTCTGTCGATGAGTCGACACTGTTTAATAACTGTTCACAGTCGAAAGTCAGCAGTCCTGGGGAAGAAGATATCTGTACTACCAATGATTTTAGTGGAGCTCTTGCTACATTGAATGTACAGGTACAACCACTAAATGAATGCTTGCACCCTAGCAATGAAGACGAGATTAGTCCTTTACTTTCTGGAGAAAAAGATGCGTCGATTGTTAATCATTCTACAGAGAATGCAATAAAGCAGCCTGAAGTTTTAGATTATTCCACTGCAGACCCAGCTTACGTTGGGGATTTTGCTTCAATTAAAAGTGATGTAGATGAATTATCTTCTCCAGAAAATCAGTTAGGCTTTACTGAATCTGCATATGTTTCTTTGGGGCCTGTGGAAGCACCGGGTTGTGTTCAATCACCATGCAACCATCTTGAGGAAGATCCAGCGTCGAACTCTATTCTGTGTGATCACAGCATGGTGTGTGATGGCCAAGCTGCATTAGAATCGGAGAAGAGAATTGAAGTAAGCGATAGCACCGAGACGTGTGAGGCTATCGGTCCATCTCCAGATTGCAAAGACTGGTTTAGAGATTCTGAAGAACAGCATTTCTCGTGCCAATTAGTCCATGAGGTGAAAGAAAGTGGTAGAGAAATAGATGTCTTGACAAGAAATGAAAGGGAAGATAACGGTCCTGATATGCAGATAGACTACTTTACTGGTTCTTCTGATGTTCAACAGGAAATGGAACAAGTGGAACTACTAATGCCTTCCCCTGCTGTAGCTAGGATGGAGAATAAACCTCTGGGATCATCTCATGAACCATTCCCTGAGAGGCTAACATATGAAGAACAGAGGCAATACAACTGTTCCAGTGCTGCAATTACATCTGGTGTAAAGGCTGGTTGTGTAATGAAACAGACTGACGAACTGCGAACATCAGATGTTTTTTCTCCAGCAAAAGATGCATCTGCCGCTGTTTTTTCTTATTCAAATGAAGAGGAGCCTGAGGATAACTCAGAGCTGGAAGACATGGATCTGGTTACTGAGTCAGATTCAGACGAGGAGCCTGAGGAAATTTTGGAGCTGAAAGAGGTGCATCTGGCTACTGAGTCAGAGCTCATCAGTAACCTCGATGAGTATTCTGTCAAAGACCAAGAATATCCCAAAGTAGAAACTATCCACACTGCATCGGACCTGTGTGGAAAAATCAGTTCCTCGGCTTCTATATCTGTAGATCCCAAGAGTCTAAATGAGGATTCCAGAATCTCTGATGGCATGTCGAAAGAGGATTCAACTTATGGACTTATTGAGCATAACTATGTTGAAAAAGCTAAAATGCAGACAGATACTGAAAAAAGTTTCAGTGCTCTCGTTACTGATCAAGAAGTTGGCTCTCATGAAGAAGAGGATGTACAAGTTGTAAATATATCTCCTGGTGCGGTGGCATTTGCAAACAGAGTGGAAGAATCAGGAACTCCAATACCCACGGATGAGGCTTTCTCAGTCAAAGACGATATGCATCCTAATGAGTTCAATTTGTTGAGCGATGACACTTTAACATCAGAAAGCAATGGAGACCGTGCTTCTGAAAGTAGCAGCAGTTGTACATGTTCATCAGAAGGCATACCACTGTAAGTAATTTAACTCAGTCTCCACTAGCAAAGCTTTTTCTATTCCTCCGAGTTGATGTTAAGAACTGAATGATAATTCACTGGTTCAACAGGGATCTTAAACTTGAGAAGAAACCTGATCCTATTATAGTAAAGCCTCCAAATGGTGTTCCATTTTCTGACGAGTGGTTAGCTGCAATTGAGGCTGCTGGAGAGGTATAAACTAAAACTAAATTTCTCAAATATGTTCATGAAACCATGATGACGAGCTGCTGTTATTGCATATGACGTAGAATTTTTTTGGCAATGCCTCAGTAATTTTCTTCTGTTAAATATGCAGGAAATCTTAACACTTAAAGGTGGACGTGTGCAACATTCACCAACCGACAAATCTTCTCCTGAACCAAGTCCATGGTCTCCGGTATAATCTTCTCTCCCCCTCTCATTACCATTTGACTGCCAACAACACCATGTAGAAATATACCTCTTATTACTTTACTTTTTTTGGTCTACAATTTTCACTAACTGATCAAACAGCTCCATTGCAAGCTTCATATTATTCAAAAGATAAGTAGATTAAAATTGATTCTTGAAACTAACTTGAAGAATTTCATTTGTTTTTGTGATGATCAGGTCAAGAAGAAGAACAATCAAGGAGTAGGACCATTTGACTGTACAAAGTATACAAACAAAGGTCTTCCTCCTGTTTTAGACTGAAAACTAGGTTTCTTCTACCTTGTCCTTAACCATTCTTTTCTTTGTATTTCATCACACTACTAGGAGACTAAAACTTTGTTGAACACACTCGCCCTATTTGTATACTTAAGAAATAAAATATGTAGAAAGAAGTTGTTGTTGTTTTTTTCTTGTTTTTTCCTGTCTTGTTTAGATACGAATGGCTTCCACAAGGGCTATTTTTTTCTCATTGCTATTCATGAGGTTGAACCTTTAATAGAGGAGATATATGACAGGACTTGGGACGAATATAAGTGAAATTATCTTGTCCATTTCTAATCAATTCTATGACATTAACAAGTTTGGCAACAAATTTACGAGTTATATGGCTCATCGTCATATATAGAGGTGGCACCAAATTTACAAGTCTGCTCAGGCTATATGGCTCATCTTCATGGCAGTTTTGCCTGAAACCGCATCTCTATAGTTGTTTTATTTGTTCTGTCTTTTGTCTTGAAAACTCCAACACATGTATATGATTATGTTTTTCCCTTGATACAAATAACTGTGGTCTTGTAGTACATGAATATTGAACACCCTTATTTGTATGTGGTCGGGTAATTTTGGTAATGACATGAAAGGGTACGACTAGAAGATTCTGTAGTTGGGTAATTTTGGTAATTGACTTAAAACCGGCCATTGTTTACCGTGTGACAAAAACCGAACCGGATGAAATTGGCAATAAAAAGTTCTTTTTTATAATGTTGACAAAAAATAATACTTTTTTTTTATAATTTAACAAGACAGCGACGTGGATCTGGCAGAAATTAAGGGTTAAAAAGGCCATCTCTCAAAAATCACAGCCATCCATTTTCTCTCTCTCGTTCGAGTTTCCCTTTCCTCATCTCAATCTTCATCTGCAAATCTCAATCGATCTTTCTCAATCCGTATGTTCCCTTTCACCTCTTATTGAATCCCTTCTCTTGGAGTTTTAATCTGCTTAATCTCAAAACCCTAATTCTGTTTCTGTTTTTTTTGTTCCGGGGTTTTTGTGGGATCATTGATTTATTAGTTTCGATCCTAAATTGTGATTGAGATTTCGGATTTCGAAAATGTTTTTTCCTGTGATTTTTTACCGACGATGTGTTTCTTCACTAGTCCGTTGACGCATCTGTAATCGAAAGGTCTCTGCGCATGCACAGATCGATTCTGTGGAGTTCTTCATCGTAGATGCATTTTCTGATTCTTATATTCATACCATCAATCTGAAATTTTGAATATTTACAATAGATTTAAGACTTCTCCGACTTTTTGAATTGGCTGAGAATAACTGTCGTGATGAGTGAACATAAACTCTAGGATTTGATTGGGAATATACTGAATCTGCATTGACTCGTATTTCGTCCTATGATGAGTGAAGTTTCCGGAATTTTTTTGTAGATGCTCGTCAAAATTTAGCCTTTTAGTCAAGTCTGGTGGTTTTGCTTGTATTTTATCTGATGATCTCAACTCTTATGATTCATGTATCTCATTATCTTTCTCGTAGACCACCATGAGTGACCATGGAGAGAAGACCTGTCCACTGTGTGCTGAGGAGATGGATCTCACTGATCAGCAATTGAAGCCTTGCCAATGTGGCTATCAGGTCTTGGCATCTGCCTTCCTTTTTTGTATTTTGTAATTTACATGTTACTGCTTACTCTTATAACTATAGTGAGGACTGTTAAGATATACATTTCTTGGTTTAGCCTACGTTTCTGCTGCTGTTTATCTGCAAAGCATAAAGAATAGAATATATATGTGATAAGAAATGATCGTTTACTGGCCTCATTGACCAATGATCTTTGTTCTTTTAATAATTTTGTGCTTGTGATTCAGATATGTGTTTGGTGTTGGCATCACATAGTGGACATGGCAGAGAAAGATCAAATAGAAGGGCGTTGTCCAGCTTGTCGCACTCCATATGACAAAGAAAAGATTGTTGGGATGACTGTTAATTGCGACAGGTTTGTAATTTGATGCTTTTTAATTCAATCTTTTTGGCGAATTTAATTTTAGCATTGGACAGTCTTTTTCCACCTTCTTTTGCTGATAGATTGTCTATAATTACCTGCACACAGTCTGGCCTCTGAAGGCAACATGGAGCGCAAGAAGGTTCAAAAGTCAAAATCAAAATCTTCTGAAGTGAAAAAGCAACTCACCAGTGTGCGAGTCATTCAAAGGAATCTTGTTTACATTGTTGGGTTGCCCCTTAATCTGGCAGATGAAGATGTATGAGAACTCTCATCCCAACCGTTTTAACCATTTCTTTGTGGGTTGCTCTGTGACTATATCTCCATTTTTCTTACAGCTACTCCATCATAAAGAATATTTCGGTCAGTATGGAAAAGTTCTAAAGGTTTCAATGTCCCGATTAGCATCTGGTGTCATCCAACAATTCCCAAACAGTACATGCAGTGTGTGCGTTTCTGTCAACCAAATTTTCCTCTTGTCAAACATTCCTTTGACTTTCGCTTGCAATTATTGTTTTCGTCTGATAATAACATTTATCATCTCAGATATATTACTTATGCAAAAGAGGAAGAGGCTGTTCGCTGCATTCAGGCTGTTCATGGGTTTATCTTGGATGGTAAAGCACTGAAGTAAGTTTTGCCTAGCTTCCTTTTTTTGTTTGAACGATATAGGTACTGTTTTTTTGAAAAAGAAAATTCATTATGTGCATTCTACATGTATTGTAGGGCCTGTTTTGGGACAACCAAGTATTGTCATGCATGGCTGAGAAATGCGGTACGTCTTCTCTGGATTCTTATTCTGCTTTCTGCCTCCTTGAGTTGTTCTTTTGGTTACCTCCTTTCTGGTAATAGTTGAAGCTAAATTTTTTGAAGTGATGAGTTGCATCATTGAATTTCCAGGCATGCGTCAATCCTGATTGTCTCTATTTGCACGAAGTTGGTTCTGAAGAGGATAGTTTCACAAAAGATGAGGTCATATCTGCCCATACAAGGTATTGTTATTATCTAAAGTTTTACAATTCCATCTTACGTACATGGTTGTTCTCTTTCATTGTTCCATTATTTTTAAGATTGGTAATATGACCGTTGGTCTAGTATTTTTGGATGATTAGTTAAGTGTTATAGTAATTTTGAAGGAGTAGAGTTCAGCAAATCACTGGAGCAACAAATATTATGCAGCACCATTCAGGGAGCATGCTACCTCCACCACTAGATGCTTATTGTGACAATTCTTTTACAAAACCAATTGTAAAAGTTCCTTCAACTGTAAGTTCAGTTACATCTCAGCTTTCCCTTCACTAGCTTATGAAATCTTTTCTGTTTGCTGGGCTTAACAGTTTCATGTCTCTATTAATTTTATATGAGCAGAGTGCAGCAAGTGTTCCCAGGTATTCTCCACCTAGTGGGAGCGGGAGCTCTAGCAGATCCACTGCTCTTCCTGCTGCATCATCATGGTAAGCTCACTTCCTTTTTTTTAAGCGAATTCTTTTGACTACTCGATCTAATATCACATGGACTTCTTTTGCAGGGGGACACATATTGCAAACCAGCAGTCTTTCGCATCTTCAGTTACCTCAAATGGATCTTCTGATATACAAAGATCAACATCAGTAAATGGAACCTTGCCCTTTTCTGCTGTTGTTGCAAACGCAGCTCATGGGCCTGTATCCTCAAGTGACATTCTTAAAAGACCGTCTCCCAAAGATGAAAGCCAAACTGTTGCTGACAAAAGTAAACTTAATGTGTTGAAGCCTTTGCAGCATAGTGTTAAGGTTGATTCTGTGTCCAAGAGAACCATCTCATCCGAGAGGGATCCTACTAGCAATTGGTTATCTAGATCAACAGACTCTTCCTACGATGGCAGAGGCACTGACAAGGCTTCAGCTACCGTGAACTCGTTTGACGATTCAATTGAAGCTGTAGAAGATGTCCCTACTGTAACCAACTTGTCGGTTGGTGTTTCGCGCATGGGGATAACTACGAATTCTGTGGATGAACGTCCTGATATTCCAATGGACAATAGTAGTCAGTGTGATCAAGGTTCTATTAGACAACCTGGTCCTGAAGTATCAAAGTTGCCACATTTAGAGGAGTGTAGGATGGATAGCTCTCTAGAGACTGATAAGAAAGCTGTCCCATCAGAAAATGGGCTCCCCTGCACAAGGCCTGAGTGGGATTGGAGATCAGATTTGCAATCCCAGACGCGAGTTAACTCAAAACTGGAAGTGGAGAATGTATCATCATTTGATAGCCAACGGAAACACCCTGAAGAAGATATCATTCGCTCGCGGTTTCTGTCTAATTCGTCAAGTTCCATGTTAGATTCAAATAATATGGCTTCTCGTTCTCCCCTGCCTTTTGAAATCTCAGGTCTGAACGATTCACATTCGAGGTTTGCTTTGGACAGAGGCAGCGATAGATTGCATGTTCCTAATGGATTCTGTGAGAAAACCATGTCCAATGTGGAGCACTCTCTGTTTGCTAATGAAGGCAGGAACAAAGTTGGCAATGCAGATGATGCTATAATCTCAAACATTTTGTCACTCGACTTTGATCCATGGGATGAAACCTTGACTTCTCCCCACAATTTAGCTCAGTTTCTTGGTGAAGTTGATCAGCGATCTTCTACTCTTAAACCTTCCAACCTCCTGAAGCAACATAACAGCCAGTCCAGATTTTCTTTTGCTCGGTATGAAGAATCTAGTAATCAAACATTTGGCAGTGAGAACCATAGCCTTTTTGGACAGTTGCCGAGAGGTAAGCCTATTCAGGAGTCTGTAGCGAGCCGAGATATCTATCAGGATAATCTTGGGAGTCTTAATGGATTTGCTTCAAACTACTCTGGTGGATTGGAAAACTATGCTGCTAGTCCTATATTCTCTTCGTACAAGAATCCTGGTTAGTATTATATAGTGCATTCCTTTCTGTTTTGCTTCTTGTTTGGATCTTTTTTTCTGACTGTTGTCCTTTTGCAGTTTCGCGACCCCAAGTTTCTGCTCCTCCAGGATTTTCTGCTCCCAGTAGGCTACCTCCTCCTGGCTTCTCATCACATGAGAGAGTGGGCCTATCCTCAGATACTGCATCAGGTATTTCTTTTCTTCCATTTTAGGGTAGCTTAGAGTGCGGCTGATGCTTCAGTCTATAACTATTGTGCACTTGTTGTATCGTAGGAAGTCGTTTTCCTGACTCGAACTCCTTGTTGAGGAGTGCTTATCAAGTACAGCCTCCAGTTGGTAATCCGAGTGGAGCAAATGATATTGAGTTTGTGGATCCTGCAATTTTAGCTGTGGGAAGAGGGATGGTGAATGCAGAGTTGGATATGAGATCAGGATTCTCATCTCAAATGAATTCCTTTGGAAACGAAACAGGACGGCAAATGTTGAGACAGCAGTCTCTGTCTGCTGCACAACAACAAGTGAATGGGTTTCACCATGATCACAGAAACTTATCTCCTTCGCTTGCCACCGATCCTTACGGATATAGTTCAAGGCTAATGGATCATCAGACACAGGGAAGTAGCTTATCTGCCTTGTCACAGCTCCAAAGACAACAACAACAACAACAACAACCATCTGCAAATTCAAACTTGTCTAATGGTCACTGGGATAAGTGGAATCAATTGCAAAGTGTGAACTCTCTGGGCATGGCTGAGCTTCTTAGGAATGAACGGCAGGGATTTAATGGGAGCCTATACAACAATGGCTATGAAGAACCCAAATTCCGGATTCCAAGCCCTGGAGATGTGTATAATAGGACATATGGGATGTGATTGTGGCATGAAGAAAAGTTTCTGTGCTTTGTTGGATGTGCTCTGGTTGATCCCATTTGTGCTGGAAGAATCATATACAAACTGCTTCCGCTGCTGCGCATATAGAATCAATTGTCATATGAAAGATGCAGGGCTCCAACATAGATTTCCCAAGTGCAGTTTTGAACTTCAAAGGTACTGAATGTTTATTATGTAAAGTGTGATTTTGACTAATTCATAGGATCTGATTGTAAATATGTGATTACTAAAGATGACTTCTCTTATGCAGAATCGAAGATGTTGAAAGTCGGAAGTCTGGGTGCTTTGTATTTGATTTGACTTCTGCAGATTGGTTTGGTGGGGATTATGGCAAAATGTGGATGCATGTAGAAGGTCCAAAGGATAACAGAGTTCTAAGTTTTGCCCCACTCTGATGTTGTTTCTTATTCAATACTGTAAATACATTTAGTTCTGAAAAACAGTATAGGTTTTTTCATTATGTTATTCATCGGATTGCTTACACAATACACAATAAAAAAACCCAAAAAGCGAAATATTACCGTTGAGCTATTGTTTCCTGCGGTTATCCACCATTTCTCGGAGTTTGAACTTCCACTTCCGAAAGCAAAGTGTCGTGCCATTCATAAACTGTGATTACCGTGTCTTGTGCATTTTCTTCTCAATTCTATGACATTTACAAAATTATCTTGGCACCCAATTTATGAGTCATTAGAGCTTTGATCAGGCCATCGTACGGGTATGCCTGAAACCGCATCCCAAAAGTTGTTATCTTTGTTTTGTCTTTGTCTTGTTCAAAACTCCGAGGAAAGTATCATATGTCTTTCGGTCTTCTTAATTAATGGCTATAGTTTCGGCTTCTAGAGATGTAAAGAAACTTTATTAAATTACATGTGGGCTCGTTATTACTGCACTCAGCAAACAAGCCGTTACCGCGGTAATATAACGGAAAGTTCAAACGGTCGAAGCCCTTAGCTAATCTTTTTGTTTTGATGGCATGTTGAAACTAATTCTTCTTTTTTTTTACGGTCAGCAAAGTAATTAACTATCGGTCCAGTCGGTTTCTTATTGAAGTCAATTTTTTTTTAATTATTGCATATTACCAAAATGATATTATAGATTTTATTTAGTCAAAAATAACCATAAGAGGTTAGGTGAGACTTTGGAAATTTACTTTTGGATGTCAGCAAATGAGTTGAGCAAGGAGTTTTATGACACTCTTTGTAGTTTGAATTTCCAATTCCGATCTAAACCAAACCAAATTAGAAGAACCAAACTGAACCAAATTAAAATGAATCAAAACTGAACCATAACCACTATAAATACCTGAATAATGGATCATATATTCTTATCTTCGAAAATAATCATAACCGAACCAAGAATCGAATACATATCCAAATTCCAAATATAATTATATACACAAAATGTTTATATTTAGATTTAAAATAACTAAAAATCTAAAATTACAAACCAAATATAAATATTATTTAGCACAAAATAACCAGAATATCTATAAACTTTTAGTTATTTTTGTTAATATTCAATATTTTAATATTCAATTTTATGTAAATTATATAAAATTTTGTAGTTGAAGTTTGAGTATTCGAATCCGGACGGAACCGAACCGGACCCAAGTTAAAATTTAGGTATTCGAAACCTAACCGGACCTAAACCAAAATTGAAAAATACCCGATAAGTTTTAAATTTCTAGACCCATAATCGAAAAAAAAAAAAAAAAAAAGTAAAAAACCGAATGACCAGCCCTAAGATAAACCAAGGGTTAAAAAGGCCATCTCCCAAATATCACAGCCATCCAATTTGTCTCTCTCGCAATCTCCAGCTTTCGTTCGAGCTTCCCTTTCCTCATCTCAATCTTCATCTGCAATTCTCAATCGAGCTTTCGTATGTTCCCTTTCACCTCTTGTTGAATCTCTTCTCTTGGTGTTTGAACCTGCTGAATCCCAAAAAACCCTAATTCTGTTTCTGTTTTTTGTTTTTGTTGCGGGGTTTTTCTGGGATCGTTGGTTTATTAGTTTGGATCCCGGATTGAATTTCGCACATGATTTTTCTGTGATTATTTTTCGACGATGTGTTTTTTTCACTATTCCGTTGACGCATCTCTCATTGAACTTTCACGGCGCATGCACAGATCGATTCTGTGAAGTTTTTCGTTTAGATGCATTTTCTGATTCTTATATTTCTACTATTGATCTGAAATTTCGAATATTTAGAGTAAATTCAAGAGCTTTCCTACTTATTGAATTAGCTGAGAACAACACTGTTGTGAAATTGTGATGAGTGAACATAAACTCTAGGATTTGATTGGGAATATACTGAATCTGCATTGACTCGTATTTCGTCCTATGATGAGTGAAGTTTTCGGCTGAAAATGTGTTTATCTGTACGGAAACAAAAAAATCTAAATGTGAATTCAGGTTTATACATGCGATACGTATCATAATATGTAGATAACGGAATCGTCAAACTTTAGCCTTTAAACTTTTAGTCAAGCCAGTTGGTTGAGCTCATACTTTCTTAGCCTGTGGTCTTAACTCTTATGATTAATGTATCTCATTATGTTTCTTGTAGACAACCATGAGTGATTATGGAGAGAAGACTTGTCCACTGTGTGCTGAGAAGATGGATCTCACTGATCAGCAATTGAAGCCTTGCCAATGTGGCTATCAGGTCTTGGCATCTGCCTTCATTTTTCGTATTTTGTAATTTACATGTTACTGCTTACTCTTATAACTATAGTGAGGACTGTTTTGGCAACATTCAATAGCAATAATCAGCATAACCAGTTTAACCACTTAGGTTAAGATATACTTTTATTGGTTTAGCCTAAAGCTCCTGCGTCGATTTATCTGCAAAGCATGAAGAATTATAATAGATGTGATAAACAATGACTCCGTGGAATCATGTAGACATATTTTACTGGCCTCATTGACCAATGATCTCTGTTGTGTTATTTGTGCTTGTGATTCAGATATGTGTTTGGTGTTGGCATCACATAGTGGACATGGCAGAGAAAGATCAAACAGAAGGGCGTTGTCCGGCTTGTCGCACTCCATATGACAAAGAAAAGATTGTTGGGATGACTGTTGATTTTGACAGGTTTGTAATTTGATGCTTTATACGCAATCTTTTTGGCGAATTTAATTTTACTATGGGACAGTCTTTTTCCACTTTCTTTTGCTGATGGATTTTGTCTACAATTACCTGCACACAGTCTGGCCTCTGAAGGCAACATTGAGCGCAAGAAGGTTCAAAAGTCAAAATCAAAACCTTCTGAAGGGCAAAGGGAACTCACCAGTGTGCGAGTCATTCGAAGGAATCTTGTTTACGTTGTCGGGTTGCCCATTAATCTAGCAGATGAAGATGTATGAGAACTCTCATCCCAACCGTTTTAATCATTTATTTGTGGGTTGCTCTCTGTGACTAGTTCTCCATTTTTCTTACAGCTACTCTATCACAAAGAATATTTCGGTCAGTATGGAAAAGTTCTGAAGGTTTCAATGTCACGAACAGCATCTGGTGTCATCCAACAGTTCCCAAACAGTACATGCAGTGTGTGCGTTTCTGTCAACCAAATTTTCCTCTTCTCATGAATTCCTTTGACTTTTGCTTGGCATAATTGTTTTCGTCTGATAATAATATTTATCATCTCAGATATATTACTTATGCAAAAGAGGAAGAGGCTGTTCGCTGCATTCAGGCTGTTCATGGGTTTATCTTGGATGGTAAAGCACTGAAGTAAGTTTTTCCTAGCTTCCTTTTTTTTGTTTGAACGATATAGGTACTGTTTTTTTGAAAAAGAAAATTCATTATGTGCATTCTACATGTATTGTAGGGCCTGTTTTGGGACAACCAAGTATTGTCATGCATGGCTGAGAAATGCGGTACGTCTTCTATGGATTGTTATTTCCTTGCTGGTAATAGTTGAAATTGAATTTCTGGAGTGATGAGTTGCATCGTTGAACTTTCAGGCTTGCGTCAATCCTGATTGTCTCTATTTGCACGAGGTTGGTTCTCAAGAGGATAGTTTCACAAAAGATGAGGTCATATCTGCCTATACAAGGTATTGTTATCATCTAAAGTTTTACAATTCCAATTCCATCTGACGAACATGATTGTTCTCTTTCATGGTTCCATTATTTTTGGATGATTAGTTAAGTGTATAGTAATTTTGAAGGATTAGAGTTCAGCAAGTCACTGGAGCAACAAATATTATGCAGCACCATTCAGGGAGCATGCTACCTCCACCCCTGGATGCTTATTGTGACAATTCTTCTACAAAACCAATTGTAAAAGTTCCTTCAACTGTAAGTTCAGTTACTATCTTATGAAATCTTTTCTGTTTGCTGAGCTTCATAGTTTCATGTCTCGATTTATTGTATATGAGCAGAATGCAGCAAGTGTTCCCAGGTATTCTCCACCTAGTGGGAGCGGGAGCTCTAGTAGATCCACTGCTCTTCCTGCTGCATCGTCATGGTAGACTCACTTGCTGTTTTTTATGCGAATTCTTTTGACTACTCGATCTAATATCACCTGGACTTCTGTTGCAGGGGGACACAAATTGCAAACCAGCAGTCTTTAGCATCTTCAGTTACCTCAAATGGATCTTCTGATATACAAAGATCAACATCAGTAAATGGAACCTTGCTCTTCTCTGCTGTTGTTGCAAACGCAGCTCATGGGCCTCTATCCTCAAGTGACATTCTTAAAAGACCGTCTCTCAAAGATGAACGCCAAACTGTCGCTGACAAAAGTAAACCTAATGTGTTGAAGCCTTTGCAGCATAGTGTTGAGGTTGATTCTGGGTCCAAGAAAACTATCTCATCCGATAGGGATTCTACTAGCAATTGGTTATCTAGTTCAACAGACTCTTCCTACGATGGCAGAGGCACTGACAATGCTTCAGCTACTGTGAACTCGTTTGACGATTCAAATGAAGCTGTAGAAGATGTCCCTACTGTAACCAACTTGTCGGTTGGTGTTTCGCGCATGGGGATGACTACGAATTCTATAGATGAACGTCCTGATATTCCAATGGAGATTAGTGGTCAGTGTGATCAAGGTTCTATTAGACAACCTGGTCCTGAAGTATCAAAGTTGCCACATTTAGAGCAGTTTAGGATGGATAGCTCTATAGAGACTGATAAGAAAGCTGTCCCATCAGATAATGGGCTCCCCTGCACAAGGCCTGAGTGGGATTGGAGATCAGATTTGCAATCCCAGATGCAAGCTAGCTCAAAATTGGAAGTGGAGAATGTATCATCATTTGATAGCCAACGGAAACACCCTGAAGAAGATATCATTCGCTCGCGGTTTCTGTCTAATTCGTCAAGTTCCATGTTAGATTCAAATAATATGACTTCTCGTTCTCCCCTGCCTTTTGAAATCTCAGGTCTGAACGATTCACATTCGAGGTTTGCTTTGGACAGAGGCAACGATAGATTGCATGTTCCTAATGGATTCGGTGAGAAAACCATGTCCAATGTGGAGCACTCTCTGTTTGCTAATGAAGGCAGGAACAAAGTAAGCAACTCAGAGGATGCTATAATCTCAAACATTTTGTCACTCGACTTTGATCCATGGGATGAAGCCTTGATTTCTCCCCACAATTTACCTCAGTTTCTTGGTGAAGTTGATCAGCGATCTAGTACTCTTAAACCTTCCAACCTCCTGAAGCAACATAACGGCCAGTCCAGATTTTCTTTTGCTCGGTATGAAGAATCTAGTAATCAAACATCTGGCAGTGAGAACCTATTTGGGCAGTTGCCGAGAGGTAAGCCTATTCAGGAGTCTGTAGCGAGCCGAGATATCTATCAGGATAATCTTGGGAGTCTTAATGGATTTGCTTCAAACTACTCTGGTGGATGGGAAAACTATGCTTCTAGTCCTTTATTCTCTTCGTACAAGAATCCTGGTTAGTGTTATATAGTGCATTCCTTTCCGTTTTGTTTCTTGGTTGGATCTTTTTTTTTCTGACTGTGGTCCTATTGCAGTTTCACGACCTCAAGTTTCTGCTCCTCCAGGATTTTCTGCTCCCAGTAGGTTACCTCCTCCTGGCTTCTCTTCACATGATAGAGTGGGCCAATCTGCAGATACTGCATCAGGTACTTCTTTTCTTCTATTTAGGGGTAACGCACTGGTTGATTCTATGGACTAAAGACTATTGTGCACTTGTTGTATCGTAGGAAGTCGTTTTCCTGACTCTACCTCCTTGTTGAGGAATGCTTATCAAGTACAGCCTCCAGTTGGTAATCCGAATGGTGCAAATGATTTGGAGTTTGTGGATCCTGCAATATTAGCTGTGGGAAA